ACAATACTTCTTTGTTTTTACATTCCATGATTCCAATAGTAATTGCTAACCTACCGCAATTTATTTGATCGAGCAGTTGCGAAGATAATTTTTCATTTCTTCCTACACTTCTTCGTTTAATTGCTGTTTACGACCAGCGGTTCCCGTAAGACTAGTTTATTTACAACTTTCGTGATTTCTCCAACCCGTTGTTTAATTTACCTCGTACCGTTATACCATAACATATTTTTGCACGTCCTAAGTCATTTATCGTGGCATTGAAACGCTCAGACGTGCCAGGCGTGTCAGACATCTTGAACGTGCAAGAACCTGCCAGAAAGAGTGTTTTAATAGCCCGGAGGTATACACTCTTTCTCTGTTATTACTATACAAAACGTTATGGGCCGAAGCAACGTTCAAGACTCTTCACAAACATTATTTTTTGATACCTTACAACGTGCTACGTGTTACCTTCTTCGCAGGGAAAACACAGGGCCCGTATGCCTGCGAAAATATACGACAGGTGCTGGAACGACTGAAGAATTTCTTTCGAAGATGGTTTCGCAAATATAGTACGATACAGCGATAATATTGGTACCGTTGCCTTGAAAATAAAAAATTGATAAAATGGAAAAATAGTTTCCACTAATCTCTCATGAGGATATTTTGTTTTCAGATCATATTATACAATTTTAACATTTTATTAAATTGAAAAATTAAAAATTCAATTTTGACAGAAGATGAAGGAACTGTCGGTTGCAATTGTTATTATCTTTTTCTTATATTTTCATTCCAGGCGTTTCCTAAACAAGAAAAGTTTGCATTATAGCTCTCGGTTTGCGTACGAATAATATTACATTTTTTTGCATTTTAGTCATTGCTTTGATATTACATATGTGCTTTCATATACAGGGTGTCCTGAAAATGTTGTAACACCTTGAAAGACGACTATTTTAGTTTTATTATTACCATGGTTGAACTAAGTGATTCTGTCAACTGCTGATCTAACAAGGAGAGTGCAGCAATTGTCACACGTATAGAAATTTGAATTTTTGTAGAAATAATGTTTACGGGGAAAGATTGTTTCAGGTTAATGCCCTTTTCCATTTTGGCCCAATAACGGTTTCAAGAGTGAAAACACATGAGACTAATTACGATTATTTATATTTCTGCTAATATTTTTGAAACCATAAGAGATACCGAACAAGTTTTAAATACAAAATTTAATGGTGTTTAAGGTTCTATAACACCTATCCTATCTATTATCAAATTTGAGTTACTATGCAATATGAATATACAGGGTGTTCCAAAAATGGTGGAGGTCCTTGAAAGGGGTGGTTCGGGGGATGATTTGAAACAACTTTTTCCTTAGCGAAAATGTTTTACGGGGTTTCGTTAAGGAGACATTAACGGAAAACACTGACCAATCAGAGCGCGCGTATACCGTTGGAACGACCGCGGTAGGCGTAGACGATTACATTTTTGATCATCTGTTCAATTAATCGAAACATTATTTGAAATTCACTTCAATTTTAATTGTTGAAGGCGGATTTCAACTTAATTTAACCATTAATAATAATTGAAATCAATTTTCAATTATAATTGTTACATGCATCTTTAATCGTCTGTTCAATTAATTGAAACATTATTTGAAATTCACTTCAATTTTAATTGTTGAAGGCGGATTTCAACTTAATTTAACCATTAATAATAATTGAAAGCAACCTTTAATTATAATTGCTAATTGCATTTTTAACCGTCCATTCAATTAATTGAAACATTATTTGAAATTCACTTCAATTTTAATTGTTGAAGGCGGATTTCAACTTAATTTAACCATTAATAATAATTGAAAGCAACCTTTAATTATAATTGCTAATTGCATTTTTAACCGTCTATTCAATTAATTGAAACATTATTTGAAATTATCTTCAGAATTTCTACCCATAGCAGACATTTACGAAAATTTGTTACAGGGACCAGTTGACACCTCTCATTCATCACCTCTCATTTCTCTGTAAAATGAATTGAAAAAATTGCCAAAGGCGTTTCAAGATATACCTAAAATATTCTCAATGTTATACAATCATTACATAAATTCCTCTCTAATAAAAATATAAAATTACTCAAGCATTTAATAATTGCCCTCCTAATATGTTGTTTCTACCTTTAACAATATAATCAGTTAATTAATTACCTATCGCTACACGAGTCAATTATAACATTGTAGTAATCTACCATTTGGCAAGTATATTCTACAAACAGCTCTTATTGAAAGACCCTATATACCGTGAAAGTAGCGAAAGGAAGGATCATTTCCTCACCGGTAGCTCATTTAATGTACGCGCACTCGAGCGTATCGCGGGTCATCCGCCCTTCGCGTCAGAAAGGACAGTTTTATGTACAGAAAGATTTGAGAAATCAACGATAAAAGCTCCACAGAGACAGTCATTCATACGACGCACCCTCTGGTCTCTTCGTTCGTCAAAGAGGGGACTCGCTAAGCAGCGTTTCCCAATCTTTTTCGGGCTTCTCTCTCCGCTTTGACTCTAGACTCTTCCAATTATACTTTCCTCGTATCACTTTAATTGGTATCGGTTGACTTTTAATTTCCAGGAAGCTGCATTTTAGGTTCAATGAATCTAGTCTAAAGCGTCAGTTTTTAGTTATTTTTCGGAATTTTTTTGTTTAACATTTTGTCTGCATTTTTAGAAAATGTAAAAAAGGAAAATTGATATTTTGAAAGTTCTGGACTAGAATACCCCCTTAATTAATGTCGACTTATCGACAGTGTTTTGAATTAAATTCAATTTTAATTGATGAAGATGGATTTCAATTTAATTTTATCATTAAATCTAAATGAAATCAATTTTCCCTTATAATTGTTGATTGTATTTTTTTAATCGTATGTTGAATTAATTGAAACATCATTTGAAATTCACTTTAATTCTAATTGAAATCAATTTTCAATTATAATTGTCAATTACATTTTTAATCGTCGTGACTTCCATTGTAACGAATCTGTGTACATATTAATCCCAACCTGATAGCCATTACAATTTATCTGTATGTACATTCTAAGTTTAGTAGCTAGCAAATTGTGCTTATTATTGTTCTTCTAACACATTACGAGTTGCTTGAACAATCGTTAGATGAAGAAATTAATTCTCCGTCACACTCAATTATTTCTAACTCTTATTTAAATATATCAGCCTTGTACTGTATTTTTCTTTCATTGAAATCAATTTTATTTCAAATGAATTCTACTAATCGCAAGATGAAAGATACTCCACTTCAATTCCATCTATTTCGATCTATTTGTCAGGGCAGGGGGTACTTGTATATATTTCAATTTTTTGGCTCGTTCGTTTAGATTTAGATAAAGTATATTCTACTTTTTAAATGAGATACAGGCTTATGCAACATGTGCCCAATCGACTTGTAATATGTGGGTCATCTTAGGTCATTCAGGGGCAATACAGTACAATGACCGTAGGGCTCGGGCTAAGTTGAATGCTATATCTCTTGAGTGCCAGTTAGGGAGAGAAAGCGATGCACAGTTTCCACCGAGACCATCCTATCCATCAGCTCCCAATTTCTTCTTGTAGAGTCGCCTAAAAGATGGATGTTCCGATTAGGAATGTGCATGGACGAGTTTCCCACGACATACGGCTTCGACGGGTTTGGAAATAGAATTAATCGATCCAACTATTGATGACTTCAAAAATGTAATTGCATACTACCTAATACCGCTGGGTGATTACCGATTACTAGAATTCTACTTATACTTTCATTCTCTGAATGATAGCAGGTTTTATTCGATCATTTGTTCAATTAACTGAAACATTATTTGAAATTCAGTTCAATTTTAATCGTTCAAGATTTCGACTGAAATGAACCTTTAGTGCTGTTTATTAGTCAATTTTCAATTGGAATTGAATTCAATTGCTATGCCGAAGTGAGGATCAATTGTCACTTACAGTTGTCGATTACATTTTCAACTTTAATTATTGAGCGAATTAACTTCAATTTTAATCGATGAAGATAGATTTCAACTTAAATTGACCATTAATTCTAATTGATATCATTTTTAATTACAATTGTTAATTACATTTTTAATCATCTTTTCAATTAATTGAAACATCATTTGACCAATTACCAAATTAACCATTAACTCTAAATGAAATCAATTTTCAGTTATAATTGTTAATTACACTTTTAATCGTCTGTTCAATTAATTGAAACATTACTTTGAATTAATTTCAATTTTAATTGATGACGACGGATTTCAAGTCAAATTAACCATAAGTTCTAACTGAAATCAATTTTCAATTATAATTGTTACATGCATCTTTAATCGTCTATTGAATTAATTAAAACATTATTTGCAATTCACTTCTATTTGAATTGTTGAAGACCGATTTCAATTTAATTTAACCATTAACTCTAATTGAAATTGTGAAATTGAAATTGAAAGAAGTGAATTAAACACATTAAAAAGACATGCATACGACAGGAAAGGTGGGGAACATACGTGACATTAACAAGATTCAACTGATAAACTGTGGAATCAAGTTAAATTATGCCTGAACAAGAAGAAAAAATTTATTTCGATTACAAGTGCCGATCATCAGTTGTCAATTAATCAGTACCGGTCAGTAGTGGCCATCCTTGGTCAGTCCAGGGTGGATTGTTATCGCTCCTTATCGTCCCAAGGTTCCACGGGGACTGCATGCTTGGACAGCTGTGATACGTATCGATGCCTGTCATGCAGTAACATTCAGTCTTAATTAAATGTTTATAATAATCACGGTTCAGAATAAGCATTCATTGAACACAGTAATCGTGAGAAATTTCTCTGTATTTCAATATCTATTGATTGAACTAAATAAAAATTAATATCTTCGAGACAATTAAACATTTATAATGCATGCTGTAACATTCAGTCTTGATTGAATGTTTATAACAACCACGGTTTAGAATAAGCATTCATTGAACGCAATAATCGTGAGAAATTTCTCGGTATTTCAATATCTATTGATTGAACTAAATAAAAATTAATATCTTCGAGACAATTAAACATTTATAATGCATGCTGTAACATTCAGTCTTGATTGAATGTTTATAACAACCACGGTTCAGAATAAGCATTCATTGAACACAGTAATCGTGAGAAATTTCTCTATATTTCAATATCTATTGATTGGATTAATTAAAAATTAATATCTGTGACACAATTAAAGATCTATAATGCATTTAGTAACATTCAGTCTTGATCGAATGTTTATAACAACCACAGTTCAGAATAAGTATTCGTTGAACGCAATAATCGTGAGAAATGTCTCTGTCTCATATTTCATTATCTATTAATTGAACTAAATAAAAATTAATATATTCGACATAATTAAATATTTATAATGCATTGTATATACGAACTGTATACAAAAGTTCGGAGACGTTGGTCGGTAGGAACGCTCCTTTGTTGTATTCGATAGGCAGCGTAAAATAAAATAAAACAATAGTCGAGCCGGTGCGGGCCACAGGTAGCACGCAAGCCGCATTCGTCAGAAGTAATCAGCGTCGGAGGAATAAATAACGCGCGGCTCGGCAAATATTGCTACAGGGAGGCCAGACGAAAAACAAAAAGAAAAAGGATAAACACGAGGAGGAGGGCAGATAACGTCCGATTAAAGCTACAGTTTCTTTGATGCCCAATTACTCTTGTAGATAGAACTTCTTAGTCCACTCCGCCTCTTAGTGTTTCTTTTTTTTTTTCTCTTTCTCTTGGTTTCTCGTTGCTCCTTTTTCTCTAGATGCGATCGGGAGGATCCACCGCCGAATATCTTTACGATCCATGCCGCAGGGTATGCGTCCACAGCGATTGTAATCGCCACGGTACACGCCCTGGAATTAATCGCGATAAAATTAATAGGGTCCCATTACAGGACGGGTGTATACGTACGACGATAGCGACTTTACAAAGAAATAAAAATGGACATTTTGTATGAACGATCGTCGCGCGAGATTTATTTGACACCGGAACAATTTATAACGTTGGTATCGTTTCAGATTATCCTTTCCGTCGGGACACTCGTCTTTCGCTTTCTACACGATGATCTATCTTGCGGTAAGTTCCACTTTTTAACCGACTTCGAAAAGGAGGAGGTTACTCAATTCGACATGTATATTTTTATTTTTTTGCGTTTTTTCGTTGTATAAATTTCACGAAGAGTATGGGCATTCACGAAGGAAATTTTATTCTCCTTCTTTGACTATTGTAAAGTTTGTACGTCTACCGATTTATGGCGTTTGGAGACATTGGATCGTTTATAAAACGTCGTTGTTTTAATTTTAATTTTATTTCATTGTCTGTTGCGTTATATTGATCAACAGAATATAGATAAAATTTTAGTAGTGAGCGTAATATATGTATTGGGTGTAGAAATCTATTCTGTGTCTTTCAAAGATGAATTTGTTACTTATTCGAAAAGAAAGAATATGCAACTTTTGATTTTTTCTTGGTACATAAAAAATATCTGTATTTCCATTTTAAAAAATAATGCAACTATCTATTATGCATAAAAAAATACGGTCCTGCATATGGGACATTTCAACCATTTTGACCAATTTTGGACACGACCATTTTTTATTTGCCTAAAATTTTTTTATATTACAGTACCCTGCTAGATACAATCTTGTGATTTTTTTCAGATTTTTGCACTGAACCAAAAAAAGTTATGAATTAAAAAAAACATTTTTTTTCAAATAGGTAAATCTCTGTCAAAAATAGACGTTAGACGTTCTTTTACCAAAAAAGATGCGTTTTTTAATAAACCACAAAAATACAAATACAAATCAAAATATTTGAATTGGTCTCTTACAAAAATTTTTGATTCCTCAGAAAGAAACTAAAATTTTTCAAATTTTATCTTTTAATTTTGTCCTTGTTTCCCCAGAAAACGTCAATTTTTTCCACCAATTTATGACGCAAGTCCCATTATGAGCCGAATGTTTCTCTAATTTTTTCTTAATTCAAAATAATTTTTTCTCACAGCGATAATAATTTCTTTCATTGTGAAAAATTCGTAACCTTTTATGGTTCAGTACAAAAAATCTGTAAAAATTCACAAAAAGGTATTTACTAGGCTACTATAATATAAAAAAATTTCAGTCAACTGAAAAATAGTCGTGCCCATTTGCAATGTCCTATATACAGGGTGTCCCAAAACTCGAGTAGGAGCCGGAAATGGAAGTTAGCCGAGACAATTCTGAACAACAATTTCCTTTGCAAAAATCTGCGTATTCTAATTACAACACACTCTCCGTTTAATTTTGTCAATATTTTATCAATATTTTGCCAATTGTGAGAAACGTTATCATTATACGTAATTAGTCGTGTCCCTTTAGTTATACTTTCAGTTAAGGATAACGTGGAAGGGTAGCAAGTTATTGAAACATTTCCTACAATTTATATGCCTGCTTTTGGCCTGGTTCACGGCATTGTCACGAGTTTCTGATTACAAACATCATTGGAGCGACGTTCTGGCCGGAGGGACCCTTGGTGCCATCGTTGCACTAGTCGTGGTAAGCATTATTCCCCTTAACTATCCTATTGTGCGATCATAAATTACGTGCGGTCATAAATATGAAATACACCATGCGGCCAGTTCGAATTTTCACGATCCTCGTTGCCGGTATTAATTTATTAAACGCCATGGGGGTCGTCAATTAATGGCTTTATTGAACTCTTTTTAACCCTTCCTCCTATGATATTTCACTTGATGAACATTTGATTCTTTGTTGTTAAACTTTCTCTGGAAAAATTTCTCGAAGATTATCAATTTTTCTCTAGGAAAGAATTTTAGAAGATTATTCATTTCTCTTTGGAGATAATTTTGGAAGACTGTCCATTCCTCTCTGGAAAAAATTCTCGAAGATTATACATTTGAGGCGTTGAATTGAGGAGAGTCCTTAAGGAAATACTAGGACATACTAAGGAAATAGTAAGAAAATACTCTACTAGCACAAGTTAAGAAACAAATCGAACAAGTTATAGAAGCATTTTGGTAGGCTGACGCTGTTAGTTTCATACAGATTCGTAACCTCTATATTTGTTGAAGAAATTTGTTTAAATTAAATAATGGGTGCTTTCTAAGGAATGTTTTATAATAAATATACAAAGTGTCCCAAAAGTGTTGTAACACCTTGAGAGGGATGGATCGAGAGATGATTTGAAACAACTTTTTCCTTAGCGAAAATGTTGTCAGAGGCTTCGTTGAGGAGATATTAACAAAAAAACCCGACCAATCAGAGCGCGAGTATGCCGGTGGAGCGGCCGCGGTAGCCAATGAGCGCGACCGCCTAGCGCGCAGCCTACCAATCAGAGCGCGAGTATGCCGGTGGAGCGCCCGCGGTAGCGTAAGCTACGCGGTAGCGTAGGCTACGCGCTCTGATTGGTCAGTGTTTTCCGTTAATATCTCCTCAACGAAGCCTCGGACAACATTTTCGCTAAGGAAAAAGTTGTTTCAAATCATCTTCCGAACCACCCCTTTCAAGGTGTTACAAAATTTTTGGGACACCATGTATATACAGAGTGGAGGTGATTTGAAACAACTTTTTCCTTAGCGAAAATGTTGTCCGAGGCTTCCTTAAGAAGATATTAACAGAAAACCCCGACCAATCAGAGCGCGTAGCCCACGCCACTGCGGGCGCTCCCACCGGCATACTCGCGCTCCGATTGGTCCGTGTTTTTTGTTAATATCTCTTTAACGAAGCCTTCGTCAACATTTGCGCTAATATTATTTACAATTATTATTATTGCGAAAATATTATTTCAAATCACCCCCCCCCTCAACCATCCCCTTCAAGGACCACCAACATTTTTGGGACACCCTGTATATATGACACATATACAGGGTGGACAATTTCAAATTCCCCACTAGAATTTCTCGGAAACTATAGGAGTTAGCGAAAAATATTTCGAACAAAAGTTGCTCAATTTCGATGGGGAAATATTTTCATGACTTTACCTTTGACCTTGGAGGTCACTTTCAAGGTCATTTAAAGGTCAACTTTGTTGTTTTAAATAGAAATCCCTATTTTTTTACCTCGGATTCGGAAAGAGCGGAAAATTTTATGTTCAGATGAGGTAGCATAGTCGTGGTCCGGGTGATCTCCAAGGTCATGTGGAGGTCAGTCTTATTTTTTGTTCTTAATCTTTCCACCTGAATGATCGAGCAAGGGTAATGTTTAGTGAAAAATTTTTAGACAAAAATTGATCTACCCAATTTTTCATTCTGGTGTCTGTTTTACCCCGTTCATTATATGAAGATCATAAATGAAGACGATACGTTATTAAAGTATTTTACATTGAATATTTATTTTCCAAATTAATCAATTGTTAGTTACATAAATAGGTTACGGTAATTGTTCAAAAACATTTTCATCTTGTTGAATGCATAAGTCATTCATAAGTCAAGAACATGACCTCCAAGGTCAAAGAAAAGGTTAGGAAAATATGGGCCCTTCGAAGTTGAACAATTTTTGTCTAAAATATTTTTCACTAAACATTACCCTTGCCCGATCATTCAGGTTGAATGATTAAGAAAAAAAAATAAGACCGACCTCCACATGACCTTGGAGATCACCCGGACCACGACTTTGCTACTTCATCTGAACATAAAATTTTCCGCTCTCTCCGAATCCGAGGTAAAAAATAGGGATTTCTATTTAAAACAACAAGGTCAAAGGTGGAGTCATGAAAATATTTTCCCATCGAAATTGAGCAACTTCTGTTCGAAACATTTTTCGCTAACTCCTATAGTTTCCGAGAAATTCTACTGGCGAATTTAAAATGGTCCATCCTGTATATTAACTGTACGAAAAATAAGGGCTTGAAATAAATTATTCTTTTCTTTTGTTCATTTCAATTAAAATAGCTCGATAATTTTATAAAAAGCAGTTATTTTAAGTAAATTGATATTATTTTTATTTTCAAATAATTGTATTCAAATAAATTCTTTCAAATAGTCTTTTCTTATATCCATTTCAATTAAGAAAATTCGTTATTTGAAGTAGCAGTTATTTCAAATAAATTGGTACTATTTTTAGTTTCAAGTAATAATTATTATTTCAATTGAAATAAATCACTTCTTTTTAAACCATTTTCTTCTTTTCTATAGGAATTTTTTTCTGATAAATAATGAAAATTGTTCCTATTTATTATTTGACGAAATATGCTTCACTTTGACAGTGGAAGTGGAAAATAATTTTTATAGACAATTTCAGATTTTGGCAAAAATCAAGAATCTCTTTGTGAATTCTTAAAAAAATCTTTCTTTCATTTTTAAAAGATTGAGTTTCCATTTCAGAAAATTACTTTCTATATGTTTTATGTAGGGTTTCATGAGATCTACAACGAAAAACAGTTTCAATCCAAAACGTTCATTATTAAGAGAGCTACGAATTTTTGAAGATTTGGTTTGGTGTTTCCATATAAAAGTTTCATTATAAATATGTACACGAATAAATGTTAAACAAACACAAGGCGTAGAGTGAATAAAAATTGTTTTTTATCGTCACTTTTGTCAGTAAGTGCCCATATATTTTTTTTTTACTTTTTTTTGTTTAAGGTCTTTAATTAATTTCTTTTATTTTGGACAAACGAAATAAATTTTGCTCTTGATATTCGTCTTGCTTAATATTCTTCAAATATTTCTACCAAATTATATAATAAAAATTTCCAAATCGCCAAAGTTATAACCATTTATGTCACACAATATATTATATTAACATAACACCGGTATTAAATATACCAGAACTGAGGAAATTTTATTCTAAATAAAGAAACGAATAAAATTCCTTCAGCCTCTCCTTTTAAACCAACCAACGCCCCAAGAATGATTCGTTTATTTCTATTTGGAACACTTAAACTACCGTTTTGATTAGCAAGAATTTACAACTTGGAAAAGGAATTCATAGATTAGCGCATCTTAATCTAGCTTAACAATCAATTGTACATACTGTTATTAAGTACACCAAGTTCCTTATCTGTCTCCTCGAATCGAGTCTATCTAAATTACAGAGATTCTCTGAATTAGTTAATAATCTTGAGTCATTACGTTTCATCCAGTATAAAATTTGCCTTTTAAACCTTTAGGTGCCCTAAAAAATGGGTGCATTCAACAGAGACAACAATTGGGGCTAAACTTTCCGAGTACGAACAAAATAAAATTCAAACAATGATATGAAGTCGATACCAAGTGACATGAAACAACTTTTTCCTTACCTGATGTGATCTGTGACCTTCAGTTTTTTTAATGGAATAGTATATTTTTTGATAAATGGAATTTTTAAATGGAATGATATATTTTTTTCAAAATTCAAACAATGAAATAAGGTCGATATGAAGTGATTTGAAACAACTTTTTCCTTACCTGATGTGATCTGTGACCTTCAGTTTTTTTAATGGAATGGTATAGTTTTTGATAAATGGAATTTTTAAATGAAATGATACACATCAGCTACTACATTCCCGTATCGTATCTTCCCGTTACCATATTGCTGGCTTGGTGGCGAGGATATATTTACTCTCAGAGATCTGTCCGCCTTCATAGATCCTCCATCAGCTTTTTTTCCCTTTTTTTTTTGCGTGGGGAAAAACCTTTTAGAAACGTTCCCGACCTTTTGGGGAAGACCGGGAATTGCGTGGGATTCCCTACTTGCTCGCAGCAGTGCAGGCTCTACCCACTAAAACCCCCACGGTTTTCTTTCTATTACGTATGCATTAGGGAGAGGCCCTGGGAGCAGCAATGTCGGGGTTGCTGCCCATTCGCGCATGCGCACCGTCTCTACCGTCAGTAAGGTATCTAGTACGACCTTAAAACTGGCACCTTTAGGTGCCCTAAGAAATGGGTGCATTCAAATTGTAAATGTAAATTTTAAGTTTCCAACGTTATTTTCATTTCATTTTAAGTTTCGTATGTAGAATGTATGTAGAACTTGGGGCTAAACTTTCCGAGTATAAACAAAATAAAATTTAAACAATGAAATGAGGTCGATATGAAAATTAATAAAATTTTTGTTGTAACAAGTGTTTGGATACAGGGTGTCCCAAAAATGGTGTGATGCCATGAAAGGGGTGGTTCGGGAGGTGATTTAAAATAACTTTTTCCTTAGCAAAAATGTTGTCCGAGGCTTCATTGAGGAGATATTAACGGAAAACACTGACCAATCAGAACGCGTAGCCTACGCTAGCCCGACCAATCAGAGCGCGTAGCCACGCTGCCGCGGGCGCTCCACCGGCATCTCTGACTGATTAGTGTTTTCCGTTAATATCTCCTCAATGAAGCCTCGGACAACATTTTTGCCAAGGAAAAAGTTGTTCCAAATCACCTCTCGAACCACCTCTTTCAAGGTGTTACAACATTTTTGGAACACCCTGTATTTTTGATACAGTATAAAAATCGACTTTTAGCTATAGTAACGATAATTCTTTCCATATTGAAATAAAGTACGTGTCCAGTGGTTTTTTGACGCGTTGAATATATCGTAGTATAATTGGTTTTTATAAAAAAACTGTTTCAAGACACTGAAACCTCAAAGAACCAAGTGTTCGCATACTTTTGATACACAGTGTATCAAAGAATTTGGACCATGGACCGTTATCTCTAGCTACGCTACTGCTCACTGTTGCTCTCTGCTATACAGTTGTATAACAGGGTGTACAGAATATTACTAGCCAGCGTTTTTCTAGTAAATGGCACATATGCCAAAAAAATGAAAGAGGAAAAATTTATACTGTTTTTTGTGTGCAATCTAACTAGGTATAATAGATCTTTGGTATTTGTATTATTATCTGAGAAATGAAGGTGATCTTCAGTTTTTTAAATGAATGGTATATTTTTTGTACAAAAATATGGTAGAGTATCGAATTCTAAATAAAAAAGTATTGACCTTTATTAGCCCTAAATCTAATGGGTAACGAGTAATTTCACTTTGTTACTTGAAAATTTTCTTAACATAGTATCAACATGGAGATTCAAACAAGTGTATTTACTACCAATTCTTTGTAAAGAAAAACATCATCCCTGTCACGTAGCACTTCATCAGGAGCTCCATCCCTGTACACATCGCTGTCTTATGGAAATCTGTGACAAGGTTGAATCTCCATCTTGATATTACATTAAGAAAATTTTCAAGTAATAAAGTGAAATTACTCGTCACTGACGAGTAATTCAAATAAATCTGAAGTTTGCCGATATGTTTGTTTTGTTTCCTCTTTTGAACATTTTTCAAAGAAGGAAACAAGACAAACACATCGGCAAACTTTAGATTTATTCGAAGCCTAGGGTTTTCCCCATCTCTGCTCGTCACCTATGAGGTTTAAGGCTAATAAAGGTTAATACTTTCTTATTTAGAATGCGATACTCTACCATATTTTTTTTATAAAAAGTATACCATTCCATTTAAAAAACTAGTCACCTTCATTTCTCAGAAAAGGGTACAAGTATGAAAGATTTATCTACCTGGTTACATTGCACATAAAAAACAGTATCAATTTTCCTCCTTCAGTTTTTTGTCATACGTACCATTTCCAAGAAAAACACTGGCTAGTAATACCCTGAACACCCTGTACATATTTCAACATTTACACATAGCATTACGAATTGTAATTGTTATTCATGAAATAACTGAAATGTTTTAAAATTGTCCATAGGCGAACTTCATCGCAAATATGTTCAAGGACCAAAGAGTTTCCTTGACAGAGGAGAAGCACCGGGCTGTCGATTACGAAACAGGAGGCAGTACACAGGTGAATAATGGCACTAGTAATCGCAACTATTGACCTAACGAACTCGCTCTTCGCTTGCTGACCACAACAAGGCCGTGACTGTCTTCTAGTTGTCTCTGGGAAGTTATTCTGATCTCAGGGACGAAAACACTGGCCGCCTGGAACCGAGCGCACAATGGCTCGGTTGAGTTTTTCAATCCGACAAGAAAACTGCCTTACCCTGGAACCGGCTCGTCGCATGCCGATCATCATCATCCTTTATTATCCAGCATCATCATCATCACAAAAAAAACGTCGTCATCGGTATCGGGGAGATTCCATGCGCAGCAGTCTCTGTGTGAAAAATCTTGCGCGACCTTCCAATGCAGTCCAGCAATTTTTCGTTATGTGGCTTTATCTATTTTGTTTTGGGTGAAACTTTGGTGGTCAGTTTAAAGTTTGTTACTGTGCGGCGTAGAGCGATTACTATTTTAAGATATCTTGGGTCTCCAGGGCTTTATTCCTTGTAGCCGGTATCAACTGAGGCTTCTTGGTTATAATCCGATGTGTTACCAGCATTGCTAGCTTCTTTGGGGATCGAATGACAAATTCATGTTAATTTTTATATTTAGTTCAACATTGACATTGGTATCGATATTAGTATTGTTGATTTTCTCCAACTAAGAATGCTGTTCGTGCAACAATCTGTTTAGAGTTACAAGGAAGAACAAAGAATGTTTGGAAAAAAGCAAATGAAATCCAGCAAAAGTTGATTGATTGAAGTTAAAGTAAAGGAATAAGATCAAAGTATCGATCAAAACATGAAACAGATCAGTCAGAGTACGCTACCATCAACAAGAGTTCCAATTTGTAAATATAAGTTTAATGACAGTTATTGCTGACCGAACTTGTACCAGAAGCTCTGAAGGAGTTAGCTACAACGATGTCATAATGAATACCTAACCCAAAGGACACATGGTTTACAACTGAAAGTCTTCGTTAATATCTGCTACAACAATTATTTTATGTTTATATTGTCTTAGCTTTAGGCGGCGATATCGTCTATTCTTATTTCGTCCAAAATTTGTTCTATCGGCAAATATGATTTGTAGCTGATTTTATATTTACACGTTGTTCAAGAAAATTATTTTTTATATTACCATGTAATACATGGAGGCATCGCAGTTTGCGATTTAACTTATGTACGTACAAAATGCGACGATCGTTTTAGCAGAACAATGCGGAAGCGATACTATTCTACAGGCTGAGCCGTATTTATAGCTTTGGTGAAGATGTATTTATTTCTTGTTGAGGATTATTTATTTTTACACGAAAGCGATCAGACACTGTCGGGAAAAGCAGCGGACAAATATTTAGTTACCCTTGACTGTGAGTACTGCTCGTTGTATACAAAGTTGCACCTTCTAATTGAGAAAGTAAGAGCGGTAAACTCCATTTATTGTTGTACTATATTTCAACCCTTACCGGACGTGACAATGCTTTAGACCTGCGCATATGGAAAATGGCGCACTAACGCTACTGAACGCTACTTGATGTGGAAGGATATTGGAGCAAACTAAAAACTCTTTCCAATTTTTCTTTCGTCTTCCTGTGCTATTTTTCAACGAATCTTTAAACTAAATGAAAGTATTTTAATTTTATGTACCATTTTTTGTAGATCTTTAAGTGTTCTTTTATACCGTGTATAAATCCTACTAAAGAATCGTGTATTTTTAATTTTACCAATATAGAAAAATTGTGGAAAAAATTGAAGTTCGCGTCCTTTCACGTTATTGTAGGAAATAAGGCTCTGCAATCTACGCAACGACTGTTTTATCCGCGTATTAATGTTACTTGCGACGAGAAGTGTGTCAATTTCAATAATCCAAACAGACGAAACCAATGGTTGGACCCTGAACAAATGATGAAAACGATACCAATCAAGATACCTGTCAAGAAAGGTATTTGGTGGTTTAGTCTGCTTGGTGTATTTGAATTTTATTATATCTTTCACTATTAAAAAGTAACGAAAACTACGTTCCTTACACTAAAAGTTACTGTATAACGCTCAATACGGTAAAAATAGCAATATCAGAGGAGATAACGTAGAAGGTGACATACGTCTGTTAAGGGTTAACAAATATTCTTGTTGATCTTTGGTGCTTGATCGATCCTATTATGCTAAAATTGTTTTAAACGTGTACTTTCAATAAGAAATCAGACTCAATATCTTTTTGCCCAATTCACTTTGCTTTAAGAATATGCATCTATATCTTATATCTGTATTATTCGAGGCTGCAGTAATAGCAAAATTTGTAGTATTAATTGTTCGTGTGGCACATTATAAACATATCCCCCAATTTACATATGGTAGATACGTTTCACAAATTCTCATGCAAAGATGCATGATTTTTTAATGAAGAACTAATAAAAACACATCAACATCTTTGCGAAATAAGAAATGTATAAAACTGTATTTTATAATTTTAATTTTGGTTTCTATACGTATGACTCTTCGCTTCACTTAATATTTTTTGAATATAAAGTTTCAAAAACTTCTTATTAGAAAGAAACGCAGTGATTTACTGCCCTAAATAATGTGAATGCTTTTTCTGTACAAAAAAAAGGTGTGTTCACTTGTTGAAATTTAATGTCAGTGTTAAAAATCAAACGGTACTAAAAGAAATGACTGGACAAGTACATGCGTAGCATAAATTTTCGTTTTTGACAGTCTTTATTTTTAGGAATCCGTTATTTTGAAAACTGTAAAAGCGAAATCGTGTAAAAAGAGTACTATGTAAATCGGGGGTTAGGTGTATGTGTGTGTATGCTTTATATTTACAAAGTATCTACGAAAAGCAAATCATTTCTTGTTGAAGACAAATCATATATGTATTCGTACGTGTACACGAACTTCTTTCACGTATGTTGGGTGTAATATTTTCCACAATGTCATCGTATTGTTCGCGGAGAGAAATTTCACGTGGCAGCGAAATTCATGCTTATTTTAATCTTGTCTCGTGAATCGAACAATGTAACTGTTATAGCAATTCTTTTAATGCAATAAGTTGTTGGTTCGTAACGAACGTATAATACAAAGTATTACATCGTTATTTAAGCAATTAGTACACTCTCGGTAAAACATATAATCGTACGGAATTTATAACTAGATTATAATACTATTACAAAATGTATATATATATTTCTAGATTATAAAAGTATAGATTCTTATATTATAATACATTTATCGGACGCTGAGTCGTCCGTCTCAATTGATTTTCTATTCAACTTTTTATATAATCGATATAGCAAACCGTACTAGGTACGCGCGATATAATTCTATTAAATATTTGAAAGTGTAGATAGTATCTATAATGACGAGCAAAAGTGTCGTGTATAAATTCAGAACAGGTGGAAATATTAACGTTTACAGTTTTACGCTTCGATACAGTACTTTACGTTAACAATGAAGAATTGACTTGTGAAACAGGTGTAATTATATAATCATCTAGCTGTATTGTCTCTAGAGAAGCTTTTTCTTTAGAAGTCAAAGTAGGAGATACTGTTTGGAGTTAAACTCTTGTACAGTCAGCAACATTAATAATTAACCGAAGGAAATAAAAGCTCTCAGTGGTAGATCAGGTGTATTAACAGACAACTTTAGTAAGATCCCTGAAAGAGTGGGAGAGGACATTTGTTGGTGCATACTACGCATGGGTTTAATATTTTGATTTCATAACGAAACAATAAAATCCAACAAGACAATACAGAAACAATGATAGATGTGACATCGATCACAGAATAGAATGTGAAAAATTCCCGTAGCGAACTTGAGAAACAAGTAAAAGTGAAGATAGATATATGATTACATGACTACACTTTTGTTCGTCACTGTAAACGATATATACACACAAACACACATATATGATGTGTATGGTGCTAGAAGTGTTTTACAAGGATATGGCAATACTGTATCACCGATTGGAAGTATTGTGTACCTGTACACTGTTAATAGATGAAATTGTGTACATTTATACGTTAAGATAGAGATGTTTATTTATTTTATAAAGGATACGTCGATTCGTTCACGACAGGTGTCTAAAAGAGACCAGTAACTTATTTTGACTTATACTTTAAACCTAAAAAATAATAAAACTGGAAAATAATTCTTAAAAATGAAAACAATTCTCGTTCACCTTTTATCCAGACAATAATTCTCGTCTTAGTACCTAACTGAGATATTCATTAATATATTACGAGTTATCTATATGAACTTAAAACTTCATGTCTTATGTTAAAATCGCATGAAATATAACTTTATAAAAAGAAGTTCGTCAACAACTAACACTTTGATGTAAGCGATGTTGTAATCATCGTTCCTAATTCCTTCTTGTGTTTTTACCGTTGTTCAAAAATTATAATATATAAATAAGATACTTAATTTATTGTGTTAATCTTTCGAATGTAAAGAATAACATAAGAGTTTTGTAAAATATCAAAGTATACAATTAGTGAGAAAAATCATAAATTCTAAAACAATAATTCTGAGTTTTCTAATCAATTAAATTAAAATAAATTTTAAATTAATTTCATAGAATAGCAACTGCCAGTGCTACAATTCTTAAATTTCAGAACAAATTAAGGTTACAGTTTCTAATAGAATTCATAATAAATCCAATTAATAAGATGCTTGTTATAACAGGATATTAAACAGTTTACGTTCATAAATTAAGTTTGAAACTGATATATGATTTGTTTAAGTTTCAGAACGAATTAACACCGCTACGGACGAGAACGATGTCTTAATTTTGGAACTGGAAGACACGCAGGGAGTAATCCTTTAAGAGTGATAGCAGCATTTGTGTATATCAGTGCTCGGAATTACTTGCACATTTCGGCCCGATTCCTGAAGCACCTCCTCCATCCCCACTACCGGTCTAGGCTCGACGGCCGAGATATGTCGGGTTTCACCCGCGTGAGTAAGAATTTCCTTGCGCTGTCAATATTTTTATTTTTACAGATAAATAAAGTTATTAATATTATGTTTAGGTTTATAAACAATAATACCTCTTGGGTGATGTGGAAAGTTATTGACAAAATTCCAATCATTATATCATATATTATTGTTATTATATGTATATATAAAAGGTGTTTATAAACCTAAACATAATATTAATAACTTTATTTATTTGTAAAAATAAAAAATACTGACAGCGCAAGGAAATTCTTACTCACTGAGAAACAACGAGAAACTCTGAGAAACAACGTCGCGCGTACGATCGCCGGCTCGGCCGTCGAGCCTAGACCGGTAGTGGGGATGCAGGAGGTGGTGCTTCAGGAATCGGACCGAAATGTGCAAGTAATTCCGAGCACTGGTGTATATTATTGAACAGGAACGAAACGTTAATATGCACGAGTAATTAACTTATTGTGTTCGTATCATTTATTTTAATAAAGTTAATATTTATTTAATAGTTATTTAATAATAATTAATAATCTTGTACAGAAAGAGATGTTTTGTAAAATATTATTCTATTGTTAAAACAACGATAAAAAAAATGTTTTGAAGTATAACATTCATTTCACCTATACAAGTAGATTGAAATATAATTCTTTATTATATATATCTTCGTGCATTATATATTCATTACTCGTTAACAAGTCGGGGAACGAAAAAAGTATACTAATATACACCATTCGTTATTAATTATGTAAAAGTGGGATATAAATATTATGACTATAGTAAGTAAAAGTAGCTTAAAAGTATATTAATATCTGTAAATGTAGTATAAATTTGATGAACTCTGAAAGTAGTTTAATGTTGTGATACATTAAACTTGAAATATTTACAATGGTTTGAAGAAAATATAAGTGTGTAGGAAGATAAAACCTTCTTTGGACCAAATTGAAGTGTTTTAAAATTAATAAGAGATATTATAAGTTAATACAAACGTGAAATAGACAAAATTGTTGGTACGAAGCCAAAGAAGTTAAGTAAACGCATGGAAGAGATGAAGGGAAGCTACCCAAGGAAAGAATTGTGCAGTTAATTGCAAGAGTGTGTTCACAGGTAAATTTCCTCACCACCCTAGGGGTATTCCCATGACGCGTTACCTTTTTTAATCATAATCGGATAATCCAAAATAATGAATAATTGATTGAACGCTAATATATGTCAATTTATATAAAATATGTGTATGATTTTCAGATTTTACAAATTTGGACTTCAAGTTAGCATCATTAATTATGGCTTCCATTATGGCATACATATGACTGAATACGATCATTACTTCTTCTGTAGGAACAGAAAGGCCTCCTCTTTGTAAGCTATTAAAATATTTGTCATCAATAGTTTTACTATAGCTTTACTAGTTTTAATTTATAAGCTTTATAAGCACCTCTGCGCCTATGTATAGACAACCGAATCGACAAACAGGCTACTATAGGTTGCCGGATAAAAGGGGCACTCTTGCGCCTACGAGATGACAACCGAACTGACAAAACGGTTAGTAAGGTTGCCAAATACAAGGGGCACCTCTGCGCCTACGAGAAGACAACCAACAGGAAATGAAGGGAAATGTGCCGGGCCATGAAAGGAAATTAATTCGAAATGTATCAGGAAATGAAAGGTTGAGAAAGGCAAGAAATTTCTTATCGAACAAACTCCCGTGAAATGGCTCTCATTTTCACCACAGAATCGAACCCCTCATCTCGAAATTCCGGGATGAGACGAGATCGTCTCGTCTCAATTTTTTTCGAAATCTCGCCCACCTCTAATATGTATGGAAAAATAATGGTAACATGATTATTACATAGAATAATCTAATATGTAAGAAGCAAGTAACAAATATCAGAGAATAATAAATGCGATTGCGTTTGTTCATTGTGTCATACTTGTCATTTTAGAAAATAAAAAATAATAATATGAAAGATTAGATTATGCATTTATCTTTGCTGGTGGTTGGATAGTTGCTTCCTTACTATTTCTCGCGAGAGACAAGTAATAACACGTGTGTTTGGGCTTTGATAGCTCTCCTTGTGATAAGGAGGTTAGTTGACGTCGTAAAGTTGGACAGAATCGTCCTTAAACTTACAAAATTTTAGATTATTTAATTCTAATTATTTGAATTCTAAAATAAACATTTGGTCCTTCGAACCGGATAGTATCGAAGAGTGCCGAGGCAGGTGTTGAAACTCTAAGTGCTGTTCAAGACAGTTGTGCTGAAGAGATCCGTGCCGATCCTTAAAAATGAGTGAATTTGAAGAGCTACTTCTCTGTCAAAATCAGATAATTCATTCGATTCAACGAGCACTTGTAAATTATAAAGGATTAGGACGTGAGAATATGACCGCCGCCACGACGAGAAATCGGATAAATCTTCTTCGAGAGCAGTTCGCTGAGTGTCAGGATTTCGACGTTAAACTCCAACGATGCGTCGATCCGATAGAAAAACCGAAAATACCATACTTTGCCGAAGAACAATTTCACAACGTCGAATCGATCTACCAGAGAACAATGGACTTCATGGCTAAGAGCCTGGAGGAACTTTCAACGGGCGTTAACGTGACGTCAAGAGCAACGTCACAATCGATGTCTCATCTGCCACACGCTAAGCTACTACCATTTTTTAACCGACTTCGAAAAGGAGGAGGTTACTCAATTCGATATGTATTTTTTTTTTTTAAATTGGACATAATGAATTTTTCCCCCTTGATATTCAATTAACGAAGCTAATTTTAAGGGAGGTGATTTGAAACAACTTTTTCCTTAGCAAAACTGTTGTCCGAGGCTTTGTCGAGGAGATATTAACAAAAAATCTCGACCAATCAGAGCGTGCGTATACCGTTGGAGCGGCGGTGGTAGGAGTAGCCTACGCGCTAGGCGACTGCGCTAATAGGCTACCGCGGTCGCTCCACCGGCATATTCGCGCTCTGATTGGTCAGTGTTTTCCGTTAATACCTCCTTAACGAAACCCCGCACAACATTTTCGCTAAGGAAAAGGTTGTTTTAAATCATCTCCCGCACCAGCCCTTTCAAGGTGTTACAACATTTTTGGGACAACCTGTATTTTTATACGTCTATGTTTTTGTCCAATTTCTCTCATCCTATTGTATGAAAAATTTTGAAAAAACATCAGAGATATTTCAGTTAGCGAATTATACAGGGTGTTCAGGCTATTACTAGCCAGCGTTTTTCTCGTAAATGGTACATATGACAAAAAACTGAAAGAGAAAAAGTGATACTGTTTTTCATGTGCAATGTAACCAGGTAGATAAATCTTTCGTTCTTGTACTCTTTCCTGAGAAATGAAGATAGCCTTCAGTTTTTTAAATGGAATGGTATATTTTTTTATACAAAAAGTATGGTAGATTATCGAATTCTAAATAAAAAAGTATTGACCTTTATTAGCCCTAAACCTCGTAGGTAACGAGTAATTTCACTTTATTAATTGAAAATTTTCTTATGTAATGAAACCGTTTTTTCCCTATTCTTTAGAATCGTTTCTACCCGTTTGTACCGCTTCTCGTTTCGTTTGTACCTCAATAGTTTAAGATTTATAAGCAATTATTTCTACTTGTAAGAGGAGAGTTCATCAATTTACAAGATTATTAAAATCTGAAGCCATATAACAAGCATACAAGTATTTCCAGAGAAAAAGAAATTTGAAATTGAAATTAAGTTCTCTACTTACAATGCATGACGATACTTACAGATGAATGGCAGGTGTACAGGGGAAACTGTATGGGTCATAGTACTAAAGGATCAGTTGTTTATGCGGGTGTGGATATGACAACTGGTGAACTATGTGCAATTACTGAGTGGACATTTAAAATACGTACGACTAAAGACAAAAGCAACATACAACACATTACCAAACAAATAGGAAGTCTCGAACAAGCAATAAATCATTTACACAAATTGCATCATCCAAACCTTGTACGATATTTAGACATGAAATATTTAGAAGATGGAGATGCTGCACTTATTTATGTTCTTCAAGAGTTTGTGGTGAGTATGCGTCACTTTCGCTTAGAGAAGAGAAAAGAGAAATTCTAACCGATAACTGTTGGATGTCAGATAGGTACTAGCTGTTCCTTCTTCTTGGCAAAGAACATTCCTGTAGATATTGATCTCTTCCGATATCTGGCAACCGGAATTCTTCTTGCTTTAAAATTCCTCCATGAAAACAATGTTGTTCACAAGGACTTACGTGACACAAGTATTTACATTGATCGTACTGGAACAGTGAAAGTATCAGATTATTCGCTCAATAAACGATTATCTGATATTTATCAAACGTATACGTTAGTCAAACCTGAACAAGAGTTTCCCAGCATCCAAGGAAGAGGTGGAAAAAAAGCCGATATATACCGTTTCGGTGCTCTTATGTTTTCTCTACTGAATGGAGTCATTGCTTCTGGAGATAAAATCGATCCAACAGTAATCACACAGGTTTGGTTTTTTTTATATTTTAAAAACTTTTAATTCTTCAAAACAAATTAAATGTAAAATGCATTTTAAATATATCTTATAGACTATGTAATTATTTCAGCCTGATCTCCAGGATTTTTTATTAAAGTGTCTTACTAATGACGAACGGAAGCGATGGTCCGCTGAACAATTATTAGAGCACACTTTCATTAAAGCACCTTTAGCTCGTGCTCTCCCGCCACCAAAAGTACCACGCAGAGATGAACAGAAGAACCACGCACCCGAAGAAACAGACACGGACATTCGGCGATACCTACCGTCTTTGGGTGGCCACTCAAGAATTACAAATGAATTCGAAGTTCTCGAATGGCTCGGCAAAGGTGCCTTTGGCGATGTTCTTAAAGTAAAAAATAAATTGGATGGTGGAATTTACGCTATTAAAAGAATAGAACTTAACCCAAAGAACAAGCAACTCGATAGAAAAATCACCAGAGAAGTCAAATCACTGTCACGCATGACTCAAAGAAATGTAGTGCGATATTATAATTCCTGGATCGAAAACGCTACAGATGATATGGAAAATCTGCCAGATAGCGGTGAGGACAACAGCGATGTATCCATGGTTACCGACAATGTCAAAGATATTGCATGTGGGTAAGTGATTTATCGTGATTTATCATTTTTAAAGTGACAATTAATGATTGAAATCATTTTTATATGAAATCGCTTATTTTTATATAAAGAACTTTCAGTACAGTAAAATATTTACGTTATTTTTTATTTATGTTGCAAGTATTATCACTAATATGTAATTTTATATTTTAAGAACCGTTGCCTCCAACAGTATAGAATTTGTAAAAGATTCAAAGTGCCAAGAAACTGTGTCAAGTACAAAAGAGGATGAAACTGGAGATACATGTTCATCTAAGGCAACAGTAAGTAAAATTCAATTCATGTGCATTCAAATGGAATTCTGTAAAAGGAGTACTCTTCGTACTGCGATTGATAATGATCTTTACAAAAATCAAAAAAGAGTGTGGAGATTATTCGAAGAAATAGTTGAAGGTCTAGCACATATTCATCGACGGGGAATAATACATAGAGACTTGAAACCAGTAAACATATTTTTAGACAGTAACGATCATGTAAAAATTGGAGATTTCGGCCTGGCTAGAAATATGTTGTCTTCATTTGTGCCAACTATGGCAACCAATAAAGAACCTCAAGTTTCCAAGAAAGGTAAGACAGATAAATGTCAAAAATTCCATTAGTTTAACTGAAAATATTTATATCACCATCGCTATGTAAAAAGTCATTTTTTATAACAAGTAATACTCATTATCACCTCCATATATATAATAGTCGTTTTCACATGACAATATCGGGGTTGATAGTTGATATGATAATTTACTAGGGCTAACGCTAATAACTAATTACTTGTGTGGAATGCTTTAGGGATCAGCTTTAGCACAGAAGACATAGGTTCTCTAACAGGGCAAGTAGGCACAGCACTTTATGTAGCTCCTGAGCTAATGATGAAAGCCCCTTATGATCAAAAAGTTGATATTTATAGTCTTGGAATAATACTATTCGAAATGTGTTACAAACCACCAGCAACAGGAATGGAGCGCATCAAGGTTTTACATAATTTACGGTTAAAAGAAATCATAATTCCAACAGAAATGCTACAGGCAGACATACCACTACAAATCCATATCTTACGGTAAACATCACATAAGCATTTATAATTTTAAAGACCTATGCACTTAACTTATGATATTTATACTTTCTACAAATTCATTTTTAAACTCCTTTCTAAATTAATTACCAATTTCTACGTAGTTTTTTTAAATACTATTTATTTATTTTTCAAATATAGTAAATGGACTTGCACGATTATAAGGTCACTTTTCGACTGTGAATCTGTGAATATCATCCTACACCCGTGTTAACACTTTCTATGAAAGACCTCGATACTCTTAAATTATTTAAACGTCATTTGATCATTGGACCCTGTAACACTTTATTTTATCCCGTCCCAGGGCCGGCGTGACCCTTTGCAGGGCCTGAATCACATTCAAATCCTACACTTAAATTTTACAATGGGGAATTATTTATTTACAAATGCTGTTATACATTATAGATTAATTGAAACATCGTAATAATTGCAGGAGGCTATTGAATCACGATCCCAATCAACGACCCAAGGCTCAAGAAATTCGTAGTCCTCGAGCCAACGCGCTTTCATTCGGCCAAATTCAATTTTCCCATGTTTTTAGAAGTGCCATCAGAAAGAGGAAAAATGAGACGGTGAGTAAAAATTACTTTTAAAAAACGAAGGGGAAATAAAATATATATATATATATATTATGTCGATTAAACGTGCTTTGCATGGTGATAACAAAAGAACGAAGGTAAGTAATTTTAAACAAAAATCGTCTACGTGGCGTGGCAGTGGAGGTCAGGAATACCAATCTATTACAGAAAAAAACAAATTATCCCAACAGGCTATAAACTCATTTTTTTCAGAATTTTCAATATATGCCCGGTATAAAAACAAGGCACTTGTTTAAAACGACAAAAAAAAAGATGGTTTAAAGAAACTTTTTTTGTTCTGAAATAATTTTGATTTGATACTTCTATGTCTTCACTGTAAGCATGTAAAAGATTTTTTACAGGTTTCGGCGCTTTGGAAACGTTCTGCTACCGGACGCTTCTAAACACCACAATACTACTACAAATATGTGTATAATGTATATTGATATGTGTTATATCGATTATGTATATCATATGTAATATAAATTTTCTATTTTAATATTTATCTCGCACTAAATACTAAATATATGTGTAAACAACTATTCCTGCATGTAAAACTTACATCTAGAGTACATGACAAATTTAATAAACCAAGGGTTATTACAATGATAATATTTATTACGGTTATTATTTTTGCTAATAATTATAACTACGAATTAACACCAATTAATTTGTATTCATATCTATCGGTATTTAGTAACATTTTTGATATTTAATCTGTTAAGGGGTAACACCAGGTTTAACTTTGATAATTTATTTTGAGGGTATCGCAAAAAGAATAGGATTTCTTTTTGTAGGGTTTATTTAACACGCATCGAAGTATAAACAAAAATTGTTGTATTATAATTTTAGTACAAAATGGCGCTGACGAAGCGAGTCTTCAAAATTGACTTTTTTTTAAAACGCCTTTACGGGAGGACGATATTCTCGTTGTGTATAACATTTGGAACAAAAAACCAACAAATTTCGTAATATATATGTAAACGAGAAGTTGGTTTCCCGTTTAGTTAGGGTCCGTGTGAGGCGTATGGTTGGTAGAGATTAGAGATGGCTAGAACTGCTACTTGTGAATCACTCGTGATTCGATCACGTTCGTTGCCAATCACGGTGATTTTTCACAGTGATTCGTGATTCTTCGTGATCGCTTCTGATTGGCAGAGAACATTCACTTTTCACGAATTATGTTGTTCTTAGATTATATATGTATTATAATATGGTCTAAAGGCAATGTTAATATAATTTTAATACAATTTAAATTTGACTTATTTGTAGTTTCTTGAATTCCGCTAAGGGGAGACAGCGAGACACTGTTAGTGATTTTTCACGCCATCCCTAATGGTTGGTGGTCCTGTGAGGCGGAGGGTTGGTAGCCGTGGGAGGTACGTTCAGGCACAGCCGACTCTAGTACTAACCATGCTGAGAAACGTGACAACACCGCTCAAGTCTAGATCGAGAGCCCTATTTTCCAATATGAGGGTCTTGTGTTTTAATAGAAAACTATACTAATGTACACCATTCGTTATTAATTATGTAAAAGTGAGATATAAATATTATGACTATAGTAAGTAAAAGTAGCTTAAAAGTATATTAATATCTGTAAATGTAGTATAAATTTGATGAACTCTGAAAGTAGTTTGATGTTGTGATACATTAAACTTGAAATATTTACAATGGTTTGAAGAAAATATAAGTGTGAAGGAAGATAAAACCTTCTTTGGACCAAATTGAAGTGTTTTAAAATTAATAAGAGATATTATAAGTTAATACAAACGTGAAATAGACAAAATTGTTGGTACGAAGCCAAAGAAGTTAAGTAAACGCATGGAAGAGATGAAGGGAAGCTACCCAAGGAAAGAATTGTGCAGTTAATTGCAAGAGTGTGTTCACAGGTAAATTTCCTCACCACCCTAGGGGTATTCCCATGACGCGTTACCTTTTTTAATCATAATCGGAAAATCCAAAATAATGAATAATTGATTGAACGCTAATATATGTCAATTTATATAAAATATGTGTATGATTTTCAGATTTTACAAATTTGGACTTCAAGTTAGCATCATTAATTATGGCTTCCATTATGGCATACATATGACTGAATACGATCATTACTTCTTCTGTAGGAACAGAAAGGCCTCCTCTTTATAAGCTATTAAAATATTTGTCACCAATAGTTTTACCTTTATCCTCCACAATTAATAATTTACATATATTACAACTGTAACAATACCAGAAAATCGCGATCGAAATTTCTCGACCATCGGTAGGCGCGCGGGGTCGGGCGAGCGGGGAACGTTCGCGAGCGTTCGCGAACGCGCCCGCATAGTAACGCGGCTTGTTGATTGACTGCGGTCTGTTAGCAACGATCGGGTATAAGAATTGCTCTCGCGGTAGCGGACGCGGCATTCTTTGCTGCACTCATAGGAGAGAACGAGGTAATTACCACGGTCGCCTAATGAGTAAGGAGAGTACGAAGCCTAGCTTTCGGACGCCTTTAGTAGCTCAGGAGAGAACGGCAGGATCTACCGCCGGTCGCCTTCCAGGGAGAGGACAGTGGAGTCACCCGGACACCTCGACGCGATATACTTTTCTATTATTGTAAAATTGAGCCGAAAGCTTTATCTTCCGAACAAACCTGTATTTCCTATTCCTCTCCCAGGAAAGCAATATGTACAATTAGTTAATAAATAAACCATATCCTTTTTTTTTTCCTTAGAACCTGTTTCCAAATTCCTCTCCTGCGAACCTACATCCCTTACACAACTTAATTTTTTAGCAATAGAATGGGACCCATAACCAGATATGTAAATTTTAATGAAATCATCAACAACACAAGTGGATAAATATTCAGTTTCGAAGATTCCCAGAAAACAAGTTACATCGATGGAAAAATCATGAAGATTACTATCGTTATCACAAATTTCAAATCTATTTTTGATTTCAGTAAAAGAAAAAAATCTTGCCGATTTCGTAAATATGTTTTAATCTAATATTTTTCTCTGGATGAACTACTTCATTGTATGAAAGGAAATTCCAACCAAATAAAAGTCTATAGTTTCCAAATCGTTTCTCTAATATTTTAGTTCAAAATTTTCCTGCTAAAAGATAAGATATATTAAAATTTTGAAAACGGTACTCTATGAGTAGTAAAAGAACTCTAGTACTTTGATGTAAAGCTTTAAAAGTATCTAATGTTAAATGACCATCTGTTTCTAAATTTTTTCAAGAATCTAACCATGTTAAAAATTTCTTTAAATATTCATATCTACAATCCTTAGCATTCAAAATCGGTTTACAAAATTCGTTTCTTTTCCTGTTACCTTTAACACTACTTGTATTATTCACAATGTCCTACTGTCCAAATGTCTTTAATGTGGGCATTAAAATTTTGAAATAAACTTTCGATATTTAAATTTCTGATGACACAAATGGTAATTTTTTGAAAAGCATTTTTTATCAAAATGCTCTGCACATATCGATGCCATTTCTGGCAAGCTTAAAGCACTGTTCTGGCCATTCAAAGTGAGTAGTAAAGCTTGAACCCATTCCTCTCGAAATTGAGGATTGCTCGGAAACCTGAATAATATAAATGTTTATTTTTACTTGATGGTACAGTTAAATGGTTAATAATTAAAGACAGTGATCATGTTGATTAAAAATAATAATATATACAAATTACATGTCAATGTAAAGCAGAAAATCCATGAAATTGTATAATAAATAATAAGTACATGATAAACTAGTTTTTGAGGTTAGGTTAATACAAATTTACAACTTACATATATAATGATACACATTTCGAATCACTTGCTTCTTTTGCTTTATATCTTGTGTTTTTACACAATTCTACAAAACAATAACGAACCATTGTTTCAGTTCTTGCACTTTATATCTTACATTTCTTTAACTTATTTTGATTGTGTGTTCCACTCAGTATTAATTGGTATCAATCACGCAATTATGAGCAGTTATGGAGTGGTTATTGGTGGTTATTAGCAGGTGGTTCTTGGTGACTGTTAGCAGCTCATAGGTATACAGGGTATCACAAAAATATTCAGGGCCTACAAGCTCTACTCTTGTGAACTTGAAGCCCGATTTTAACTCGCGCCCGTTGGGGATGATGGCGCTACTGTCACTCCTTTCGCGCCATTGAGTTCATATTCTGTGTACGTTTATTCTATGGCAAACGCGCTCGGCAACGTGCGGCAAAATTTCAACTCCATATGGTCATAACCAAAGAGGATTAGATAGAATGGAAGGTCCCATAAAAGCGCTATATAAAAAATCGTATACGAGTTTCAGTGCCCTCTGGTGAGTGGGAACCGTATTAAGCACCCCCTCCTTTCGTCTCACTCCGCAAGTTGCTCCGTAGTTCTATAATCCCAGAAATCTCAGGTCACAAATTTGAATTATGTGAACTTACATTCACAGGTGGGACCTAAGGACAATGTGAGACCTACGAACTACGTGGGACCTGGAACCAGCAGAGACTCCGACGCACTTGCCTATAATGTGCTTCCTAGATCATCCAGAGGTGAGTGTATTACCTTACAATAATATTATCTTCTATTGCATTCCTTTTTTTAGTTATGATAGGTATTTAGTATTATGCGTGTCATTTAAAAAGTGCTTCTATTAATTCTTTGTTACAATTACAGGTTGCACTGTCCAAAGAAATCAAGTTCAACCAGCTATCAGGAAAGGTCTTAAAGATATTAAATATTTAAAAAAATACTAGATGTAGTAGTTAAATATTATATCTACCGGAAAGCTCTGTCTGTTTCCATCACAACAAGTCTCGACACGTAAGCACATGTTTATTTGGTGCATGTGTACCTCTCTATTTTTATTATATTATTTCATACATACTGACATAGTAAAATAAAGTTGATTCACGTTAGTCTTATGTGAAGTGATATGTGCTTACGTGTCTAGACTTTTGATAGAAACTGACAGAACTCTCTGCCAAAAAACACTTGGCGATGATTTGAATATTGGTAAACCATCTATATTAATTAATAAATTAATTGTAGATAGTTTCAAAGATATACTTTTATAATTTTACAGGATTGTTTCTAAAGCATCCGATAGACCAAAGTGATAATATGATCCTCCAGCTAATACAACTACTTCAGCACTTTTAAATATTTAAATAAATGTTTACCAAGACACCTAAGAAAAGTGTTGAAGTAGTTGTATTAGCTGGAGGATCATATTATTACTTTGGTCTATCGGATGCTTTAGAAACAATCCTGTAACATTATAAAAGTATATCTTTGTATGTTGAGCATTCTTCAGAATTTCCATAAGATTATTAATTGCATTATGTCTAATTTTAAAATCAAAACACCAATTAATATTTTACAATTACAATCGACGTTTAACGAATTTTTAATGGGGCTATTACTGACATATTTTGTCCAATAAGTATGTATCAACTGCATGTTTGATACGTATGAATATTTATATAGTACGTTGTATATTTGCTATGTATTATATATATATTCACTTACATGATACTAGAGACATTGTATTATTTACGTATTTAACACGTTATATTTCATACATAATAAAATGTAATGTAAATGCAATATTATTACGTATATAATGTATACATGCAACGAAAGGAGCCGTATGGGCTATGATAGTTTCGGAGATAGACTTTCTTAATAATACGTTCCATCCGGGGAAAAACCGAAAAAAGAGGATATCCTTTTACTCGCCTATATATTATCAGAGCCGACTCTAATACTAGCCGTGCTGAGAAACGTGGCAACACCGCAAAAAACCAGATCGGGAGTCCTATTTTCCAATATGTGGCCAATTGTAGCGAGAGGCCGGGAGGCTGGTCGAAGCTGATAGCCTATCAGTGATAGGGTAGCCGAACTCTCGCACTGTTGCCATTTTTATCTCAACATAGCTAGTACTAGAGTAGGTTGTGATATTATATGAGAGCACCATCTGAAACAAATTAGGCGCGATATTTGCGATTATATTTGAAGCAGATTATACTAATTCAACGGCCCCCTTTAATCTCAATGTGATACATAAATGCATTACTTATATATATTTTCTTTCTACAGGTGACATCCTGAAAATGATTAGGTCGAGCAACTTGACCAAACCCAGGAAGCTCAAGATCTAGAAGGCTGTGGCTACGCGGGGATACCAATTGCGAATATGAAAAATCCGGAGGCTTTTTAGTCAACTTAAAAAAATTTTTGCCAGTTGCTTCACGTGCATCGACGGATGAAACTATTTCCATTGCATTAAATTTTAATGTTTCGAGTGCACCTGAATTATCTATTCAGGCTGCCATTCTATATGTATCGCGAATTGTTCGTAAGAAAATTTGTTGTAGAATTTGTTTAGATTTATATTATAACACTAACGATGTCGGAGAATATACGTCGATGCATAGTGGATGTATATCTTTAATTTCTAAGGTCGTATCTGTTTGCCATGGTAATGTTAAGAACATGGCACATATTCCAGGGCTTGTTACGATTCTTAAATACCAAATTTCAGAGCATATAAAATTTGATTTCATATGCTCCGAACATGGCAATAATTTAACAACATATATCATACATAATTGTATCATATATGTTGTCGAAAAATATATACGTAGAGTAAATCGCGTTACAAGTGGATTCGAAGAGAGAATGGACTCGGATCCACTTCTAACGCGACCTATTAATGTGAGTGTGCAAAATTATGCACGCAGGACTGGATTCATGTTTTAATGGAATTATGTTTCAATTTTTAATATTTTACATTTGCTTTCTTTTAATTAAATTTTATTTCCCTAATAATAAATCCAGTCCTGTATGAAGCTTATACTTTATGTTTACACTTTATTATGTGAATATACAGGGTGTCCCAGAACTTCTGTAAGAACCGGAAATGGAGGGTAGCTGATACGTTTCTGAACAACAATTTCCTTTGCAAAAATGTCGGTGGGAGCTTCATTTTTCGTTAATAATTCAAAAATAAAGCCTCCAACAACATTTTTGCAAAGGAAATTGTTGTTCAGAATCGTGTCAGCTACCCCCCATTTCCGGTTCTTACAGAAGTTCTGGGACACCCTGTATATGCATTTTTATATTACTGTTGCGTTTGTATTTTTATATATTTTATATGTACGAATATGTATGAGTGTGTGGATTGTAATGCAATCGTATGTATGAATGAATACATATATATACGTAAACATTTAAAACCAGCAAGAGTCACGGTTCTTCGACTAAGATCATCAGTGATCATGTTCTTAGGCGCAAAGCCACGATTCTCACTGATTTTAAATGTTTACACTTTATTATGTGAATATATATGCATTTTTATATTATTGTTCCGTTTGTATTTTTATACATTTTATTTGAATGTATATGTATGATTGTTGATACTTTATTATGTAATTAAATATGTTTTTTGTATATATATTTTATACAATTGAATTTTAGATTCTTTATTGTTTTTTCAATGTTTTCCAGTGATAATAAATTTAATTTTGTATAAGTAGTCCTTTTTTCCCTATAATTATTTTTTTATTTAAATTAATTTTAAAGCAAGTATAAATACACATACGTGGGATCATACCGTTGTGTGTGTGTCTCACGAATTATATGTATGCAGTAGTAACGACATTTGCGCCATCATCCGCGACGGGCGCGAGTTAGATTGGGTTTCAACGCTAAATACGAGAGCTTGTGGGCCCTGAAAATATTGTAACACCTTGAAAGGGGTGGTTCGGAAAATGATTTGAAACAATTTTTTCCTTAGCGAAAATGTTGTACGGGGTTTCGTTAAGGAGATATTAACGGAAAACACTGACCAATCAGAGCGCGACTATGCTGGTAGAGCGGCCACGACAGCCAATGAGCGCAGCCGCTTAGCACGCAGCTTACCTATCAGAGCGCGAGTATGCCGTGAAGCGCCCGCGCTAGCGTAAGCTACGCGCTAGGAGACTGCGCTCCGATATTCGGGGTATCGTAGGCTACGCGCTCTGATTGGTCGGGGTAGCGTGGGCTACGGGCTCTGATTGGGGGTGGGGGGGGAGGGGGTAGCGTAGGTTACGCGCTCTGATTGGTCGGTGTTTTCATTTGGGAACCTTCACGTCACCACCGGTCAAAATTCAAAGTTCAGAGCATAAACGCTTTAATCAATCTGGACGTTTGATTGGTCAATGGCATCATAGAGTACAAAAAGTGATGGAAAGGTTATAATAGACGTGTATATAAACCCATGTAAACCTCTCCTGAAATTATGAATTTAAATAATACATTTATGAATTTAAACTTAATTTCATGTATTAAAAGTCTTTAATGGGTGATTATAAAGGAAACTTTGTTTAAATATTGGATGGTCAATTTAAATTTATAAGTTTAAGTGCCCGGTGTTCTCATCGAGTTTAAGGTTAAGTGTCAAACAATGAGTTAAATACAAACATCGGGAGCTCTTGAAAGGTATTCGAGTTAGACGATGAAGGTATAACGTATTAAGGGAAATATGTCCTGCGAGTCTTGTAGAGATCGACAGGAGAACGAAATCGAGGCTTTGAAGGTGAGTCAATGCAGACCTAATCCACTGAAATTTTACTCTTCAATTTATAATTAAATTGACTGTCTTTATTTTCTATTTTTTCTTTTTTTTTATGTTTTGATTCATAGAGTATTTTTGGAGACGAACTTCATGATTTACGAACTGGGAAAAGTAAACGAAAATGGCAACCATTAGATATTTCAATCACTTTAATACCCCAAAGGGGCATGTCGGGTCCAGCTGAAGTACACGCACAAATTGATTTACACGTAACTTGCAGCGAAAAGTATCCTGACAAGTAAGTATCGCTTTAGTTGTGTATATTTCTCTATACTTGATATTCTTTGTAACAATACATTTTCTAATAAATAATTTTTAAGTATTAGGTCTACCAGAAAATTCTTTCCATTTACAGAAGAAAACAAAATAATAAATTTCTCATACCTTCGATAAATTTGATTGAATAATGTTGCGAACACCCTTTGGACGTTCCGAAGCTATATTTAATTGCATTCCTATTGTACACATTTATATTGTAAAGCTGGTTGTTATTTATTAAAGTTCGTGTTAACTCATTATGTCGAAATGCAACAATAATATAGTTTTTATCATTACTTATGACATCTTGCCAGCGTGATTGCAATTTGTATATCATTTTTAACGAATATGCGCATACTTGAAACTTGTTGTAACTAGAATGGACAAAACTTTCCAGTAGACCCAGTACATCATCATATATTTTGCATGAAATAGACTTTAATTTTGCTATAAAATATTATTTGAGTCTGAAGATTTGCCAAACTATTAGTCCAGTAATTCCATATATGGAAATATCCCATATTTAGAAATATATAAATAGTAGAAATTATTAAAAATTTTATCTACATGTTTACTTCATAAATTGCAGATTACCAAACATAGAATTACAGAAGAGCAGAGGTTTGTCCCACCAACAAGTTGACATATTATATTCTGAATTAATGGAACTCGCGATGCAGCTACAAGGGGAAGTGATGATTTTTGAATTAGCGCAACATGTTCAAAAGTACCTACACGAAAACAACAAACCAAGTTACAGCAGCTTCTATGAAGAAATGGTTTCAAGGCACCAAGAAAAGATCAAATTTGAAATGTTGGAGAAGCGACTAAAGGAAGACAAAGAAAGACAGGTTGAATAATTTAGCATATTATATAAGCAGCATTATATTAAAAATATTTAAATAAATGTTGACAATTGATCATTCGAATGGCAGGGACTTTCAAATAATTCATTTATCATTTTTAGATAAAGGCATTTATTTAAAGGTCATTATTATTATTATTATAGCTGGTTAGGTAGTAATAAAACAAAATTGCAGGTATTACAGGATGAAATTCATAAAAGAAGAGAAGCTCTAAAAGCTGAAATTCGTAATCGGAAAGAATCAATACGACTGTGCAATGATCGATCAAGCAATCCATCTCAATCAATTCCATCATCTCCGCAAGAGAGGTTACGAATTTATTCTCGAAGGAGATGCGCTAGTAGTTCTGAAAGTTCTGATGGTTTTCTATGCGAGCATAAAGGCACTAAATTGCTACACTTCGATCACAATAAAGGTGTTATGATTGAAGATTATACAGAAATTTATTAATAAAAGAAATGAAATTCTTGATTATTTGAATGCACAAAAACATGATTTTGATTTATATTTATATAAATTTATAGATCTTAATATTAATACAAGAACTATTACTAAATGGAATATTTTATTTCTTTTCAACTTATTAATAAACATTTATGTAAATGCAAGTGATTTTTCATAGAGACCGTATTTAGAAGGTTATCACAATATTTACCAGTGTAGGTATTCAGAACCTCAAAGAGATATTATTCTACAGGGTGTTCGGCAACAGGTGTCTAAAACTTTATGAGGTGATTCCATGTTCCGAACTAAGACGATAATCAAGAATGATGAAATTACGTTTAAAAGCTTTGTATGCAACTTATTAATGACTGAAAAGGTGCAGAAGTGAGGGACTTGCACTACTACTGGCGTGTGGACAGCAGCTGATACGAATAAAGTAATTGTGGTGCATATATGAGCATGTGGGTGATAGTTGTAGGTAAATAATTGTATAAATAACTGTCTAGTTACTTATATAAATAAATACGTTTCAAACGCCTGCTGCCGAACCTCTTGTACATACAAGATGTTAACAAAAGTGTGCAAGTTTTTTCCAAATCAATTTCTTATACCAATATAAATCAAAATGTCTTCTTCGTGTGTTCGTGTGTATATTTTAAGACAGAAGGTTAAGATGGAAAACTATGCGTTAGGAAAATGTTCAAACAGAGCTTAAGTACAGAAAGACCATTGTCCTAATAACTTATATTACATAGAAAATGGCAAGTCTTGTGCAAATTAGTGCCGAAATTCATTGCAAACCACTTTAAACATTTTAAGCAACAAGATTTCACTGCTAATTCTTGAAACACGAAATTCTGTCGTTATTTAACAGACGTATAACAAGCATACAAGTATTTCTAGAGAAAAAGAAACTTGAAATTGAAATTAAGATCTCTATTTATAATGCATAATGATACTTACAGATGAACGGCAAGTGTACAGAGGAAACTGTATGGGTCATAGTACTAAAGGATCAGTTGTTTACGCGGGTGTGGATATGACAACTGGTGAACTATTCGCGATTACTGAGTGGACATTTAAAATAAGTAATACCATCGACGAAAATAATATGCAACACATTACCAAACAAATAGGAAGTCTCGAACAAGAAATAAATCATTTGCACAAATTGCATCATCCAAACCTTGTACGATATTTAAACATGAAATATTTAGAAGATGGAGATGCTGCACTTATTTATGTTCTTCAAGAGTTTGTGGTGAGTATGCGTCACTTTCGCTTAGAGAAGAGAAAAGAGAAATTCTAACCGATAACTGTTGGATGTCAGATAGGTACTAGCTGTTCCTTCTTCTTGGCAGAGAACATTCCTGTAGATATTGATCTCTTTCGATATCTGGCAACCGGAATTCTTCTTGCTTTAAAATTCCTCCATGAAAACAATGTTGTTCACAAGGACTTACGTGACACAAGTATTTACATTGATCGTACTGGAACAGTGAAAGTATCAGATTATTCGCTCAATAAACGATTATCTGATATTTATCAAACGTATACGTTAGTCAAACCTGAACAAGAGTTTCCCAGCATCCAAGGAAGAGGTGGAAAAAAAGCCGATATATACCGTTTCGGTGCTCTTATGTTTTCTCTACTGAATGGAGTCATTGCTTCTGGAGATAAAATCGATCCAACAGTGATCACTCAGGTTTGGTTTTTTTTATATTTTAAAAACTTTTAATTCTTAGCAAAACAAATTAAACGTAAAATACATTTTAAATATATCTTATAGACTACGTAATTATTTCAGCCTGATCTCCAGGATTTTTTATTAAAGTGCCTTACTAATGACGAACGAAAGCGATGGTCCGCTGAACAATTATTACAGCACACCTTCATTAAAGCACCTTTAGTTCGTGCTCTCTCGCCACCGAAAGTACCACGCAGAGATGAACAGAAAAACCACGAACCCGAAGAAACAGACACGGACATTCGGCAATACCTACCGCCTTTGGGTGGCCACTCAAGAATTACAAATGAATTCGAAGTTCTCGAATGGCTCGGCAAAGGTGCCTTTGGCGATGTTCTTAAAGTAAAAAATAAATTGGATGGTGGAATTTACGCTATTAAAAGAATAGAACTTAACCCAAAGAACAAGCAACTCAATAGAAAAATCACCAGGGAAGTCAAATTATTGTCACGCATGAATCACGAAAATGTTGTGCGATATTATAATTCCTGGATCGAAAGCGCTACAATAACCGACGAAGTTGAAGAGAAATATACGACACCTTTAGCAAAGAAAAGTCAGGATTTGCTTAATGTAATTATTATATTTACTCATTTTTTTCGTTTACTTCTTATGCATTGTCATAAACTAGATAATTAATATTATATAATTAATATCATATAATATCATATACTAAATATCATTTAATCATCAATTAATATCATATACTAAATAATTAATATTATATAAATGATTAAGATCCAACGAGTAAGATATTGTTGTATCGATGATCAAAACTATGAGATTACATTGTTCATTTAAGAAATGCATTTTTCTAATTCCGCAACAAATGTACATTAGCAATGTCTTTGTTAAGATTACATTTTACGTTCAACAAATTGTAACTCGTACCATATATTCTTTTGTTTTATTTAATTACTTGCTCATTACTGTTCGTCATTAATTGTTCAGCATTTAGCTACGGATGATATCGAAAAATTGGCACCACCGTTGCAAGATGTCGAATGGAATGTTTCATATAAATCTCGAACGAATACAACCCTTCCGCCAGATAGCGACGAGGACAACAGCGATGCATCCAGTGATACCGACAGTGACGAAGATTGTGCGTTTTTGTAAGAGATTGATCATTTTTAAAGTGACAGTTTATGAGTAAAGACATTTTATATAAATATCTATTTTATAACGAACCGAATTCAGATTGGGTACATTTTTATATGAAATCGCTTATTTTTGTACAAAGAACTTCCACTAAAATATTCACTCTATTTTTTAGCCATTTTTCTAAACACATTGCAAGTATTATCACTAGACTGCAGATCTTTATGCAAAATAAAATCTTTGTACATGTACCTATAAAAATTTTATACAAATAGAAATTTATTTTACTCTACAAATATTATAATATGAACTTTACTTTCAATATCTTTTTATATTACATCATATTATGTGCATTTTGTAATTTCTTAAACATCTAAATTTCCTATAAATACATCTGCAGTCTAATTATCGCTAATATATAATGTACAATGAATTTTTCAGGATGCGAAACTTTTTGAGAATCGATTCCTCCGCCAGTATAGAGTTTGAAAAGGATTCAAATTGTCAAGAAACCGTGTCAAGTGTAAAAGAAGATGAGACTGGGGATACGTATTCATCTAAGGCAACAGTAAGAGAGATACAATTCATGTACATTCAAATGGAATTCTGTGAAAAGAGCACTCTACGTACAGCGATTGATGCAGGCCTTTACGAAGATCAAGAAAGAGTGTGGAGGTTATTCCGAGAAATTGTTGAAGGTCTAGCGCATATTCATCAACAGGGAATGATACATAGAGACTTAAAACCAGTCAACATATTTTTAGACAGTAACGATCATGTAAAAATTGGAGATTTCGGCCTGGCTACTACAAATATATTGTCTTCATTTGTGCAAACTATGGAAACCGATAAAGAGCCTCAAGTTTTCGAAAAAGGTAAGGCACAAATAAATGTCAAAAATTTCATTAACTTAACTGGAAATATTTATACCATCATCGCTATGTAAAAAGTCATTTTTTGTAACAAGTAATAGTCATTATCACCTCCATATACATACTACTCGCTTTCACATGACAATATCTGGAGCACCAATTTATAATTTTGCTTGAAAGCAGGGTTGACAGTAGAGGTTATTTTAAATGGAAAGCGACTGTTAAAAGTTGTTGAAATTTATTTTATGATACGCTAATTTACTAGTGCTAACGCTAATAACTAATTAATTGTGTGGAATGCTTCAGGGATCAGCTTTGGCACAGAAGACGTAGGTTCTCTAACAGGGCAAGTAGGCACAGCACTTTATGTAGCTCCTGAGCTTACAACGAAAGCTGCGAAAGCCATTTACAATCAAAAAGTTGATATATATAGTCTTGGAATAATACTATTCGAAATGTGTTACAAACCACTAACAACAGGAATGGAGCGCATCAAGGTTTTACTTAATCTACGGTCGAAAGAAATCATAATTCCAACAGAAATGCTACAGACAGACATGCCACTACAAATCCATATCTTACGGTAAACGTCACATAAGCATTTATAATTTTAATGACCCACGCACTTAACTTATGATATTCATACATTCTAGAAATTCATTTTTGAACTCCTTTCTAAATTAATTACCAATTTCTATGTAGCCTTTTTAAATAGTATTTATTTATTTTTCAAGTATAGTAAATGGACTTGCACGATATGGAATTATAAGGTCACTTTTCGACTGTGAATATGTGAATGTCGTCCTACACCCGTGTTAACACTTTGTATGAAAGACCTCAGTGCTCTCAAATTATTTAAAAGTCATTCGATCATTGGACCCTGTAGCACTTTATTTTATTTCCTATGCGAACGTAGTTGTTACAAACTTTGTTGAAGTTAAGCATTGTATAAATTAACACTTTCGCTGCAGATGAAAATAAGTAGCCGTTCGCTGGGAGCTGCAATTACGATATTTGTGATTGACTAAATGTCTAAATACGACTAAACCGACTAAAAAAACAAAGGACGCGCATGTGCGTCATCTGCACATGGCAAGGGCTCAGTTGGACGCACGTGTGCGTCGTCCGCAGCGAAAGTGTTAATTAAAACATCGTAACGATTGCAGGTGGCTATTGAATCACGATCCTAGTCAACGACCCACAGCTCAAGAACTTCTCTCCTCGCAATATCTACCACCTCTTCGACTCGAAGAAACGGAATTGCAAGAAATGATTCGGCGCACACTTTCAAACAACCAAACCAAAGCATACAAATATTTAATTTCTTGCTGTTTCACTCAAGAAGTCACACCTGCGGACGATATTACTTACGACATGAATCTACCTAGTAGAGGACATATCAATTTTTTTTCTTGGAAAAAGTATCAAGATGGAGTGAAGTGCAAAGTAATAGAGGTTTTTCAAAGACACGGTGGAGTTTGTCTCGAAACGCCACTTCTGATGCCAAAATCACGTCAGTCCTGTGGCTTTTCAGATTCTAATGTAAAATTAATGACACGTAATGGAAATATTGTTTACATTCCTCATGATCTACGTGCCCCATTTGCAAGATACATTGTGTGGAATAATGTTCTCCATATCAGAAGATATGCTATTGAAAGAGTCTTTAGAGAAAAGAAGGTATTTATTGACTTCATAATTTATTTATATTAATGATTAGATTAACATTAGAATGATTCCTTACAAAATTAAGAATGATAAAAAATGTATTCATGGTATGTAGACATGTTAGGATCTCTAAAAAGCAAATGCGAGACGTTTGGTACATCTTTTATACATCTCATAAAGATATACTAACGCAATTAATTTGAATATTTAAAAACAATTGCATAAAGAATGTGGTAGTAACAATTTTAAAATGTTACGATTAGTATTCTTAAAACAGTACATTTTCTGTTCTTCGAACATAATTGATTAGTGTTAAAAATTCCCAGGTTCTGGGTTTTCATCCCAGAGAACTTTACGAATGCGCATTTGACATCATAAGTCCTACTGCCAATAATCTGTTAATGGAAGCTGAATTAATATACATCGTATGGGAAGTCATCAATGAATTACCCCAATTACAAGAACGAAATTTCACTATTCGTCTGAACCATACTTCTTTATTGAAAGCAGTGTTAATGTACTGTGGTATCGACCAAGAAAAATATCAAGACATTTATTCAATTCTTCGAGACGCGCGTGACGGAAAATTTTCGAGATTTCAAATACAAACGCACTTGATAAGTTTGTGCCTGACTGACCAGGCTATGGAGACATTATTCAATTTATTCGAAACTGAAAGCTCTATTGCGAAAATTCAGAGTGTTTTGAAAACAATTACAAAGAGAAAAGGTGATGCTGCCGTATTGGCTAAAGAAGGACTGAAAGAAATTGAAATTGTAATGGAGAATATCGAAACGCTAGGTGTGAAGGTAAAGTCTTGTATTAAAAATGATAGAGACACAAGAGAGCATACCCAGCTTTAATTATTATAACTAAACTGCAGAAGTTTATGCGAATGCATATTTTATAGGAAATAGTTAAAAGAATGGGACCTAGACAGAAATTTGCTTTGAAATTAGAGTACTATAAAAATACATTGTTTATTTTGCATATTTATGTTTAAAAACATATGCAATAATATATTGTAATAATATATTGCATATATTATTTATCGTGCTTATGTGAAATATCTACCTCCACAAATTAGTTTCGTCTATCACCAAACTTTCGTATCATAATTGTGTAGTGTTTACACAAATACATTATAATTAGACTGCAGATGTTTATGCAAAGTATAGTTTATACAAAAATTTAACCTAAATAGAAATTTATTTTATTCTGCAAATATTATAACGCGAATTTTACTTTCAATCTTTTTTATATTTCTATATATTGTTTGCATTTTGTAGGTTCTTGCACATTCAAATTTCTTATAAATGCATGAAGATTCGCAGTCTACCAGAATAATTGTGAAAAGTATTTTATATATGTTTATGTAGCGAATATTCTGTAACATACTAATATATTACTTATTATACTACATTTTATTCAAAGTTTTCGTGCATATTTTGCATATTTTGCATATGCATGTTACATATTTATCGTGCATAAACTTCTGCAGTCTAATTATAACCTTAATATAATAAATTTAAGAACGTGGAATGCTTTTATTATTCCTACATAATTAATACCCTTTTTATTGTTGTTTTAAATAAACATTAAAACAGCTAATATTCTTTTCTATAAATAATCTTCGTATCTTTCAGTGGCCAGTAGTAGTGGTACCTCTTCTAGTGCATAATATCAACCAACACAGTGGTACAATTTATCAAATAACTTGTGAAGTGAAACGGCGTAGGAGAAAATGTGGAGAAGAGGTAATAGCAGCAGGAGGTCGTTACGACAAAATGATATCGTCTTTCAGGAAAATACTTGAACGCACAGGGATGGCCAACAAAGAGACCAAGCAATACGGTGCTGGTATCAGTATCTCACTGGAGAAACTTGTCTCCGCTGTCTTGGAAACATCAGAATCTTTAGAAAGTAAATATGGCATCGATGTGGCAATTTCTTGCTTGGGTAACCCTCATCGAGAAAAAGAAATGATTGACCTTCTGAAAGAATTCTGGACTTTTGGGTTGAAAGTCACTATTCTGGATTTGATATCTGTCGAAGAAATCCTCGAACATTGTCGAGAACATTCGATCAACCAAGTAGTAATTTTGAAAGCCGGAGAAAAAGGAGCTGTTAGAATTCAGAGTTGGGAACGCGACAGATTTCAAGAAAAGAAAATGACCAATCAAGAAGTTGGAGAGTTTCTTCAAAGATTGGACAACTCCATGCCCATCCTAAACAGATCCGAAAGTAAAACAACGACAAGTGATAATTTTTTGAGCAGTAACAATCCAGTTAACATTAATATTAACTTTATTTTGTCCGAGCGAGACAAACTTTCGGGTAGCTCGAGAAGAAGCTTGAAGAATAGTATGCTTGCACAGATGTCTACATATTTTCAAAGAATCGCGCATAAAATTCCAATTGAAATTTTCGCAGTATTTTTGGAAATGAGCGTAATTAAAACAATTATAAGTTTTTTGGATATCGATGAGGAGAATCAAGATTTTCTTAAAAGCATACAAGTCATTATTGATAAGTACGTACTCATTATATATTAATTACGTATTGCATGAAACATCTCTACTATAGTATAAGTAATATAGTATATTAATAATAATTATATATAATTTATTAAGTAAAGGATATATACAAAGTATTATTTTGAAGACCAGACGTTGGCAATCTATCGTATAGTTAAAAATACGAAAATATTACACCGAGTGATTCCAAATTTCGCGATAAAACAATATGTACAAAAATACAATATTATATACTTGTAAAATTAGAAGAAATTCCTTATGATTAGGCTGCGGATGTTTATGCAAAATAAAATCTTCACGAACGTGCCTACAAAAATTGAACCTAAATAGAAATTCCATTTTATTCTGGAAATATTATAACTTGAATTTTACTTTCAATCTTTTTTATATTTTTACATATTGTTTGTATTTTGTAGGTTCTTGCACATTCAAATTTCTTATAAATAGATAAAAGTCCGCAGTCTACTTATGATACATCGCATCAAAAACAGAAATTTGGAACTGTAGACTAGTAATAAAGTCTTCTATTTTTTTCCATGCAATTTTTGTTTCCATTTTTAGGCATCCAAGACACAAGAAGTACATAAAAGAAATATGTGAAGAAATGCGGGAGGCAAGGAGAGAAAAACTACGTCCTGTACTGATATTATATAGTGTGATCGATAGCCAATACATGACTCTTTTATAAATAATTTGTCTTTCTACAAAAATGCATAAAGGAGTTACAATAAACGTGTAATTTGTAACATAAATAAGTGATTAATAATAAAATGAATTTGTTTTTTTACATTAAATAACTACTTTTCAGAAAATTGTCTTCGAGCTATAAAATCACCTGCTGATGCTTCGAATGCAAAATTGTTTAAAAAGAATCCTATAGAAACAAAATACAAGACACAAATTGCAAACACAGATTGTTTTTCATTAAATAAAAATTAGTTCTACACAATTTTTTAATTTACATCGGGCAAAATTATACAAGATTTTTAAAAGTAAATGCACAAACAGTTCAATTGAAATTTTTTTATTTGCCCACTCTTTCGTTTTACAGGGTATGCTCATAGTACAAATTGTGATGACTTAGGACAATGATCCAAAGGAATTGAGATGTAAATTTAAAATCTCTATTAACTTTGGAAAGCGTCGTTAACAGGCTCATCGTCATCCTCATCTTCCTCTCCTTCGCTTTCAAATGTATTATCCGGAATATCATAAAGCCTTATCATTGGCTTATTCGGATCTTTCATAATGAGGTATTTGCCATCTTTTTGCTTCATACAAATATCAATAATACACCGCAAAATACCCCAAGCGTTGTCCATGTTAAGATTGATTTGCGTTGCAAATTCATTCGGTTTATACTGCTGAGTACCAAGAATAACATGTTTACTGGAGTCTCTAACCATTGCCCTCGATACATAACCAAACTTCAACTGATCCGAACCTGCTAATAATGCTTGGACAGTCCATTTGGCTAATTTACATGCATTATTACGCAATTCGTTTGCCAATACAGCACCACGTTGCGTGTCTAATTTCTGTCTCCACTCAACGCCATTGGCCAACTTTGAATCCCATTCATTTAATGCCTTGATCGTTAAAAATTGCATTTCATTATTAGGTCCTTGCATTACTGCATCATGTTCACATCTTGCGACTAGAACAATTCCATTATTTAAGTCCCATTTTCTGTATCGGTATGCAACACTAGCAACATCGCCTTCTTCTTCTTCCGAAATAAATGGGTTCCCTTCCTCGAATTTATATCGAGGCTCATTGGACTTCAGCACTTGCTGAGAAAAGTTATGATTGATAAATGTAGCTTCTAAAGCTAAATTTCTAGGAGAATTCAAAGAGTTTCCGTCATCCTGAGGTGGCTCAACACTGGTTTCATTCACAGTTAGCAAATCAAATTCTGTGTTGTCTCGCTTGTCAAAGAATAATTTATCTCCAATTTTCTCGATTACAATGTCCCAAGAGTAGTTACTACGAGTGCAGCACATAATTGTTGCCAAAATTGCATCGGTAGCATAAACATTTCCCTCTGTTTTTGAGAGCTTACGAATTATTGGATCGTCAGTAGTGGTAACCGTATGGAAAATTCTGTCAATTCTTTGCAATGGTTTTTCGCTCTTGACATTTACTCTATCGTAAGTTTTATCATAATACTCAAGAGATCCGCAACACAAAATATCTTCCCCATCCTTTACGCTAGGTAAAGACAGTTTTGCTAAGCGTGGGAAGTCCATTTCTTCGATGGTTACCCAGTCGGGTCTCACAGTAACAGATGCATCGCGAATTTTGATCGGTGGCTGATTTTTATGATTCCGTAAACCTTGCTGTCTACCCCAGCGTTTCGTTTGACCTTTGCGTTCTCTTTCACGGAGTTTTAATTTACCAAGTTGCTGCATCTGACTCAACGCACCGCGCTGGCCACCACGACCGCGTAGATTCCTTTGGTTATGTCGGAAGCGACCACCACGTTGGTATGGTGGCTTCTGTACACGGGTTGTATCGACCAGGTGGAAAGTTGTTTCATCTTCGTCGTGATAGTATGCATATTGACTGCCGGAGCCAAACTGTGATGTATACTTGTCTAAACATATCGAAAGATTCATGCGTTATAGGGTCGCATTCTTTTATATTTTACCAAACCTTTATTTTAATACTTGATATTATTTAGCATGTTTATATGGTATAATCTATGTATAAATCATGCTTCGTGTATATATCTTTTATAACTAAAGTTAGAATTAATCAAGTATTTACATATATGTACTAGAAAATATTCTGATTAACTAAGTAAAATTAACTATTTAAAAAATAATGTTGAGAGTGCACCTTCTCCTTTCATATGTGTAACGTGTGTTATGTACCATACACAAATATGACCTTACCGCGAGTTGTTATACCCAAAAACCGTTGCTAACGAACGTTTAATTCTGTATGAATATACACATGGCTGTGAACAAACGTTAACAAGCAGAGAGAGAGAGAGAATGAAAAAGTATATGATTAATTTTACAAGTCTGTATTAATAAAATACAAATGAAAAGGATCTAACTTGACTCTTAAATACCAAAACCATAACAAATAATATTTATCAAATATTTATAATGAATTAAATTAGATAAATGTCTAAATAAACATAACTAACATAGTATTTACAGCATATGTATCAAAAAGTAGCATCTAATACAACAGACACTGAAATGTTATATTTGTGACACAGAAAAATTGAACGTTAAAGGTTAGATGAATGTAAAAAAAAATTATACTCACTCGGAAACTTTTTATCTTGGAATGCTGGTGTGGTCCAGTCAGATATCTGTGACAGAAGATAATTAAAAAGATATATGTAATAAATGTGTTGGAAAAAATTGGTAAAAAAACTTTGAATGAATAGTAAGTACATACCTTGCCCAATCTGTCGCCTTTCGAGAATGGTTGATAAGGTATATCCTTGAATTGATCTGGTAATTCACATGGACCCCATCCGTTAGGATTATGTTGAATAGCAGGAGCTTGAAAATGAGCTACCTCTTCTTCCTTCTGAACAGTTTCATCCAAAACCACCACGTCGTCCGTCATTCTGTAGTTTTACAACATGAAAGCGACAAGACACGATGGTATCGTTGGGATCGTTTGCAATCGTTCGCTTAGGACGGAAGAACCGGCAACGCCATTATACATAGACTTAAAGGTTCGTTCATATCGCGCAATTAATTTTTAATTACACTTTTAATTAACCCTAGACCAGGACTCGGCAAATTTTTGGGCGAAAATTATCAAGATAAAATATACAATTCGAGCAAAAGCCGTGGAGATTCCACATTTATAAAATATGATCCTCCGTGTAACAAAAAACTTAAAAATAAGGCGTCATACGCATTGACACGTATACAGGGTTTCTCAAAAATGTTGAAGGTCCTTGAAGAGGGTGATTCGGGGGGTAATTTGAAACAACTTTTTCCTTAGCAAAAATGTTGTTTGAGCTTTCGTTGAGGAGATATTAATAAAAAAACCCGACCAATCAGAGCGCGTAGCCTACGCTACCCCGACCGATCAGAGCGCGGCCGCTTAGCGCGTAGTTTACACTACCACGGGCGCTTCACCGGCATACTCGCGCTCTGATTGGTAGGCTACGCGATAGGCGGCCGCTCTGATACGCTACTGCGGGCGCTCTACCGTGATACTCGCGCTCTGATTGGTCGAGGTTTTATAATTAATATCTCCCCAACGAAGCCTCGGACAACATTTTCGCTAAGGACAAAGTTGTTTCAAATTACTCCCTGAACCCACCCTTTCATGGATCTCCAACATTTTTGGGACACCCTGTATATGTATTAAAGCCACTCAATGTAAATTAGTAGAAAGAACTAATAAGTTATTAGAAAGAACTAGTAAGTTACTAGAAAGTTTACTGTTCCAGAATTCCATATTCAGTATTTTCAGTATTTTTTAGTTCTTCGTGTTATCACTAAAGTTAAAATGGCGTCGACTGTTGTGGCTTCAGCGACAGTTCGTGCCGTCAAAGGCAGAAAAATATTTTCAACGAGAGCTGCGCTTACCTTAGTGAGTGGATAATTAACTAACTAATGTACACCTGGAATTTCTAGGATATAATCTATACATTTATTTATAGTATTTATTAATATCGATACGAAGGTTATCGGGGCTCGTACATTTCGTAATTTAAGGTTAGAATTTCAATTTATGTTGAAATTATTTCATAACGTTCGATTTATTGCTAGTAATAAAAATGAATTTTGTAATAAATTCTATATATAGTAACCTTATTTTTGTTCTATGTCTCACTTCTGACGGTGATAATATACATGATTCTATATTTACCTATTTCTTATAGCTTGATTTATGTTTGTTATAGACACCGACTGCAGTGAAAAAAATTAAAGAGTTATTACAGGACAAAGCTGAATATGTGAGTAAATATTATGTATTTGGTTCACGTGTCTTTTTACATATTTTAACATAATGAAAACAGATATATATATATATTGTATAATCAGTCAAAGAATACATTTATTTATAAGAGGGTGTAGACGCAAATGCTGCTTTCAAGATACTTGGAACCATTTTATCAAGTTATTTCATGACATATATTTTCATTGAAGTATATATGTATACCATACATAGACATGCCTCGTACTAGAGCACTATAGATAGATGCATGAAGTATAATAAATTTTATCTAGAGACACGGTAGCGTCTCGATGCCAAGTTCATGAATAATTATACAGCCACCCTGTATAACATGGCGCTACCGCTTATCTTTTACAGGAGAGATGGTCCATTCTATTTTATTTACTAAACACAGTTTTGCTTGATTACATGAAAATTATATTACCTGAATGAATTTAGATATAACCTTTGAATAGTTAAGTACTCAAATCTGTACAATTTAATACCCGATAAGTTTTTATTACTAATCAAAGAAGAATCACATTACAAAAGTGCTCAGTCACCATTAGGTTTATGCAGCAAATCTACAATACTTAATGTTTCTTTAGGTTTAATTTCTTTGATAGTCAAAGTGTCAATAAAATGATCGTCTGTAAAGGTGACCTTATTCTCAAATTTCAATAACTTAGAACTCACAACAATAAAATGCTAAGAAAGCATCTCGAGTTGCTACCAGATATCAGAAAAAAAGGCCTCAAGTGCAAAGGGTTAATAAGTGTTACTTTTAATTTATATCCTTTGAAAATTTGGAATATCCCATGGCACATAATTTAGAGACACAGATTCATGCTATATTTTAGTTGCAAAAATAATATTATTTCTACAATACGTTAGAATGTAATTGTATACGTTACAAAATAAATTCTGTATTTTGTTTTCAGATTGGTTTACGAGTCGGTGTGAAACAACGAGGTTGCAATGGTTTAAGTTATACTCTCGATTATGCCAAAGAAAAGTCTAAACTCGATGAAGAAGTTGTTCAAGATGGTGTTCGCATAATGATCGACAAGAAAGCACAGTTATCTCTTTTAGGCACGGAAATGGACTACGTAGAATCCAAATTGAGTTCAGAGTTTATTTTCAACAATCCAAATATTAAAGGGACTTGTGGATGCGGAGAAAGTTTCTCCGTTTAATTAGTCCGAACACGAGTAAAAAGTTGTAGTTAATAATATGAGTTGAATGTAACTAAAGAACAACGTTTCTTTTATTGTAATACTCCATTCGAAGTCTATTAATGTTGACACATTTAATTTGAAACTGATAAGTAAATTAAATATATATAGTGTAACTGATTTCTTAAACGTGTATCATAATATGTATTTAATTTCATACATTAAGTTGTACATAATTTTTATTTAGGTATCGATTACAGATACGCTGTGTAATAATTAGTAAAATGTTAATTCAATTAATGTACATAGATATGTATAGCCATTGTTAATATATAGTAACTTATTCTCTTTAACCACTGTGTACTATAATTGTTTTAATTTGAGTATTTAACTATTGTACTAGTTTGAGTACTAATTTGCAATTCGAATGTGTAAGTTTGTTAACAAGTGCAGAACTTATGTTAAAACGCAGTGTTTAATTTGTAATTTGTTAACGATACAAATCATATTTGTCCGCATGTTACCACATGGCTAAATTTTTCTAGGTACTTGGAGTATTTTGTCTAGGTGAACTCACATCTGTGATTCCACTTGGAACTTATAATTAGAAGTGCTTGGAAGAATAATCTCTAATGAATACCCGAAACAATTTTAAATCTATTATCTTTGAAGGTAAAATGCCTAAGTTCTAATGAAATAGTTCAAAGTTCAGTTGCTAAATGTCGCCTGGAATTTATTTATTTATTTATTTATTTAAGGTGTTATAGACAGTAGAGGTGTATGTTACACCACAATATGGTACAACATTTATACAGAGTTCCTTAGTTTATATTTTGTTATGTACATTTAACTATAATATTGTTACTACATCGTACTTTGTTTTCTTGTCTCCAACATACACTGAGCCTTGTTTATTCATTCATTCTCTACCTTTTTATCTTTACTAATTCCGAACATTTTGTTATTAATAACTTTGAAAACATCCATTTTAAACATTTTCCATTAATTAATTGATAATTCGATATTTTTTTATGCTACCTTATTGTTTAGCTTGAACTGCCTTAAGTCAGGACTGCAATCTTACTTTTAACTATTTAAAATTGTTCATTTATTTTGTTATTCGATTTCCCTTTCTTTTTTGTTTTTGGTGTACTACAATAGTAATCACAACTTTTTTATCGCTACATATCATTTATTATTCAATAAGCGTTATCTCGAGACAACTCTATAGTCTTACTTGGGGTTTTATTTATTATAAACTTTATTATAAAAATAATTGACTTCCAAATATATATTCTTCAGGTACTCTCCCCTATATAATACATATAACATAACCGCAATAAGAGCCTCGAACAAAAATTACACCGACCTTAGAACTTCATCGTTGTAAAAATCGATACTCTTATTATTATCCCCAACACAACAGTTTCAATTTTTAATATTCCGTAATTTCTACCATAAGCTGATGCGTTTAGCACCTCCCACGCAATATGCATCTTCCCCACCTAGGGCCGGCGTTAGGGAGAGGCGCTGTCGGGCAACTGCCCGGGGCGCCAGATTTTTGGTAGCGTCGCAGTCCGGTGTAGATTATTAAAGCTGCTATATATTGTAGTTTAATCTTTACAATCTACCTACAGATTCATCGTTTGATTATTATTACCTTGTCTTCTTTTCTTAAAAATTTTAAGCCTCTGAAGGGACCCCGCGATAATCTTGCACGGGGCGCCAATATTGCTAAATCCGGCCCTGACATGTCAGTTAAAAATCACAACTAAACAGGGAAGGAAACTTTGGTATTCTATCTGTCTTTGTCTCTTAGCGCATGCGTACAAGTGCATGAATCCACGCATCTTCTGAATATCTCCTTGCCAACGTTAACACTTTTTT